GGTTGGGTCCCCCCCCCCCCCCCCATCGTTCCCTCTATACCGATGGGTGTGGTTTTAGAACGTGAGGCAAATCAAAAGTGCTCTTGTGTGAACCCTTGGGAAAAAACAATTTGGACGTCCCTGATCCGACATCTGCAACAAGCACGAGAGGAGGCTGATAAACATGCGAATGCTCATCTCGCCTTCGATGCCAGTCGCATCCACTTGCAGACCGACGTATGTGGCCGGCTGGCTCCGCCCCTCAGCCAAGCTCCTCCCCTCCTTCCTCCACGCTAACTAGTTCTCTCAAAATCAGTAATTAATCCCTTAATGCTCCGACCTCTGATGAACATGCCATCTGCCACAAGCCTTTTCCCGCTCCGACTCTCCCTCTGCTCATCTAAATTTGTGACCTGTTTTTTTTTTTTTTTTTTTAGTTACTGTTTGCGGTTGGAAAAATTGACACTAAATTTCAGAGTCTTGCTCAATGGTATCTTGACAGGGAATAGTCGGGCGAATGGCGTCCACTTTTGCTGAGGAAGAGATTCGGTTCTCGTCTTTCATTCCGAAAAACACTTCCCGTGTTTTCTCTCCGACGTGGCCGCTCGCCATCGGATTGCATTCATCGGACCAGTCAACTGTCGCGGCTTTGGCCTTCCGTCCTCGCATTAAAGCCCCCCTCCATCCAATTTAGAGCCACTCCAACTGTCCAGGGTTGGAATTTTGGCTTTTTGTTCGTTCTCTAATTCCTCCCAACTTTCCGTTCTCGCCAGCATTTAGAGCCACTCCAACTGTCCAGGGTTGGAATTTTGGCTTTGTTCGTTCTCTAATTCCTCCCAACTTTTCGTTCGGCTCAGTGACGGCTCTTCGGCTTCTGTCGCCAAACGTTTCGGACCCGAGAGAGGAGAACAGCAACGGGATAATGTGAAGACAGGGGCCGCTTCCCTCTTTGACCCGGACTCACTCACCGTGATGGAAAAGTCTCCCATGCCAAACGTTTCGGACCCGAGAGAGGAGAACAGCAACAGGATAATGGGAAGACAGGGGCCGCTTCCTCTTTGACCCGGACTCACTCACCGCGGTGGAAAAGTCTCCCATCTGGGCTTTGTGGGGAGATTCTGTGTCCAGAGTTAGCTTTTCCACAGAAATTTCTCTGCAAACACAACGCCGCCAAAGTTTTAGCGTTCCGGCGGAAACGTGAAAAACATTTGATTAGCTTTTCCACAGAAATTTCTCTGCAAACACAACACCACCGCCAAAGTTTTAGCGTTCTGGCGGAAACGTGAAAAACATTTGAAATTGATCGATTCAAAGGTGAAACATTGAACGGTTCATCCGAAAGCATTCGCACTTGATATCACAAGAAGCGAGGGTCCTTCGTTTAACCGCAGCTGCCTTCCGGAAGTGCCGATGGAACCCGAATTTCATAACTACATATAAAGCGATGAAATGGAAAAACAGAAAGTATGTGGGCATGTGCCGCGTGATGCCGCGTGCAGCTCGTGACTTCAAAATGCTGTCCGGCGCGACCGTTCCGAAGCGAGGACCCGGACCTTCAACAAATTTGACTTTCGAGATCAGCCTCAACGCTAACACTGAATCGCAAACAACGCAGGATAGTTTCGAACAAATGTTACTGTCGCGGGAAGATGAGCTCACCCGGAGCTGCGCGAGAGAGCGTCGCTGGAGAAAGCGGCCGCGTACGCAGGCGGGTTGCTTCCACTCGGGATGGCGTTCCGCAGCAGGCGAACCCACGTGCTGATGTCCACGTTCATCTGGCGGGCACGCAGGAAGGCTTTACCTGAGACAAACCACGTCAATTGCAAAAAGACAGACCGAGACACGAAGTGGCTACAATTTTTAGGTACGCTTGGCGTTTCAGCCCGCTTCCCAATTGGAAATAAAGCGAGAGCGCAAAGCCGGCGCTTGACCCTCTTGAAGCGTACCGTGCTGTTTGGAAAAGACATTCTTTTGTCTCTGGAGTCTTCGTCCTCTCTCGATGACCGGATTGAAAAAGGTGACCTGAAACAAAAGTTCACATATGGTACACGAAGAAGAATCCGAAATTCTGCAGTCAATCTGATTGATTTTCTGGACGTGACACGACCGGAATGTTGTCACGTCCCAAAAAATGGCTACGTTTTGGGCGTACCGTGCTGTTTGGAAAAGACATTCTTTTGTCTCTGGAGTCTTCGTCCTCTCTCGATGACCGGATTGAAAAAGGTGACCTGAAACAAAAGTTCACATATGGTACACGAAGAAGGAAGGAGTCTTTTTGAATCCGAAATTCTGCAGTCAATCCGATTGATTTTCTGGACGTGACACGACCGGAATGTTGTCACGTCCCAAAAAATGGCTACGTTTTGGACATATACTGTCTATCCGTTCATTGTGCGTGACTACCTCTGCCAGGAGCAGGCCCTGCGGCTCCAGATCGAGCTTGACTCGGTGCCTTTGGTTATCCAAAAACTCTTCCAGCTTCAGGTACTTCAGAGCGCACAGGGAGCGGTAATCTCGCCAGTACACGGCTATCTCCAACTCCCTGGACTAGTCCGACAGATAAAACAACACCGTGTTTATACAAGCTCCCTCTTCGATATCACTCCCGGCAACCAAATTGCTCCTCATGAACAACTCTGGAATTGGCGCAGACATCCGCACGAGCAAGCATACTCGAAAGATTTTTGTTTTCGGAGCGCCGGCCGCAATCTCTTCTCACCCTCTCCAGCTCCACAGTGAAGCTTTGGTCCCACGTCTGATCGCCAAACGTTCTCCAAGCGGTCTGACCCACAACCGTGTTCTCCAGCTTCAGCACGGCACTCACTTCCGCTTTAGTGCGCACACAAACAGAGGCGTCGTTTTATTCTTCTCGATGAGGGCTGTGACTCATGAAAAGTGATCAGTAACCTTGGGCTTGGACTCTCTTTGCAACTCTTGAATTGGCCAGGTCAGAATAAAAATTTTTTTTTTTTTTGGAGGTTCATCGAATGAGCTGAGCACATCGAGCAAAAAAGTCCAAGCAAGTTCCAAGTTATTGAAATGAAACAAAAGTTTCTTCAAGTTGATTTGATCACGACTGCACTCGATGGGTTTGCCAATTGATTTGCAGCGAGCGGGAGGACATGACTTGACTGCACCCAGGACCAATCCTGTCGATGGAGTCTCACCTATTTTCATGTCTGAGGCGCAACGTTGCTGTCATTTTTTTTTTTTTTTTTTTTAAATCAATTTTTCTCGTCTTAGTCAATGTGAAAAAATCATGGCTGCAACAGTTCATGATGAGCGAACCAGCATTGTGTTTTTTTTCTTGTCATGTAACAAGCCCTCTCTTGTTCATTTGAAAAGTGTTTTTACACGACTCGTTTTCGACGGCAATTCCAATTTTTTTTTTCCCCACTTCTACCATCGAATAAAGATCACGTACTGGACAGCTCGTCATTCTTGCCGGGGATCTTAAGGCTCATGCTACTGGTGCTGCGGCTGTAGAGGCCGCTCAGTTTGAAGGAGGAGCGTCCGTCTCCCGGAGAGTAAGAGGGAAGAAGCGCGGGGGTCCCTCTGCTTCGGCCTGGGACCACCTCTGGCAGCCCTACGCATCCCAAAAGATGAACTTGAAGGGTTCCTGCACAAAGAGGTCACATATCAATGAGGTGACAATGTCGAACAGGGCAAGGATGGCCATTCTGTTTTTGTTTTTTTTTTTAACTCTTGCATGTCGTTAAACCACATGCAAGCCTGTTTTGCTTCCGCTTCTCCTCCCTTTTGCCCCCCACTGCCCCGCTTGAAGAGCGGCTCGGGGACGATGACGCACCGCAGTGCCTTTTTTTGCAGACGTACTATTCGAAGACGCGCAATCAGCCAACCTGATTCGCTCTCCAGTTTGCTCAATCTCATGACAAGTGCTCATCGGGGGGCCCTCGGTGTCTACCTGTGAGAGGCGACGGTTTACTCAGGGTGCTGTACTGGTTGTGAACGTAGGGTGTGCTTTGGCGGCTGCTAAACGCTGAGGAGGAAGCCAACGCCAGCTCCTCCTTGATCAGACAGGCCTTGGGGTGGTCCTCCGGGAGCTCCAGTAGCCGCTGCTCCAGAGAGCACCTGAGCAGGTCCAGACGCTGCGATGACTCGCTCAGACCGCATTGCGCCTGCGGGTCGGACAGAGCAATCGTTGACGGCGGAACGACCGGCACCTCGCTCGTGTGTCGCTTGGTCAACAAAGTCAAACGCTGACCTCCGCGATGGCCTTTTTGTCTTGGACCTTGCCCGCGCCGAGCAGTCGCAGCATGTTCTTTGCTCCCTCCGCCATGGCGTGCTCCACGCGGTAATGATGCCACAGCTCCTCCACGCGCAACTCCACCCCGCACAGGTCGGGTTTACCTAGCACGCAATATTGTGCGACGCATTTGCAAAAACTGACGAAATGACTTCATTCGTATCCGTGACTATTTTTCAGAAGTGAATGTTGAAATCATCCCCAAAAAATGGGAGTATTGTCTTAAGCGTTATATAATTCTTGATCCTTGGGGTGTGGAAGGAAGTGTGAGCATATGTGTGTGAAAACGACAACATTGCGCTTGTGAACACGCGGCCCTTGAAGTGGTGTCTCTGTGACTCCACCTCCCTCCCCCATCCCGACTCCCCGTGTCCGGCCGGAGCCAACCTTCTTTGTCTCTAACCTCTGCTAAATGAGGCCGAGCTCTTAGTTGTTGGCCAACACTGAGGGGGATGGAGGAACATCAATAAGTCTCGAACCAAGAGCGAGAGGGCTGTAATGGACGGCGTGCGCATCAATGTCTGCGTGCACGTGGCGTCGGTGCGTGAGTGTGTTTGAGCGGGCGCTGTGAGCTTCTGAAGAAAGAATCGATCCGTGACTGCCGGCATCATGAAATATGCAGTGTGACAGGTGGGCGAACGCTAAAAGGGGACCCGAAAGTCGAGCGAGGATGAAAAAAAAAAACGACGACATACATGGGCTGTCCTCCGATTGCTCCGTGGCCTGCATGGCCTTTCGGATCTGCATGCGGATGATATCAATTTTCGTCTTGCTGTCCTGCAGCATCTGCTGGGCCGTCTGGAGAAGCTTCTTGTCCTGCAAGAAAATTAAAAAAAAATCGAAAATAATAAGAAGGCACAATGCAGCGAAAACTAAGGGCACGTTTGTTCGTGGAACCACCTTGGTAGCGCCGTTGGCATAAATGGGGATCATGTTTTCTGCCCCCTGTTTGACCTTCAACTCAATGTTTAGCTGACGCTCCAACGCAGCAATGCGCTGCTGGTTGGCAGACGGTCGGCTGACCGAGCCCGGGGACGTAGCGGCATCTGGAAGAGGAGGGCAGCGGGTTAAGGGCAACGTACTGGAGTGGTAGAGCGGGTCAAGATGAATGCTTGTGTCGGCTCAGCCAATGCACGTTGTTGAGTCGCTTTTACCAGAGCGCCCTGAACATAAATACAGCCTCCTGACAGCAAAAAAAAAAAAAAAAAAAAAAGACAACGGTTGCTTGGCTAAGGCTCACCAGAACACAAAATGACAACAAGGGGCGTGGCTTAGTGAGTGACCTCAGAAACTTGGCTGGTTCGTCTGCGTGCGACGCGCAACGCAGAAATAAATACAATAAAATCAACTAAGCGACAGCTCCGTTAAATTGAAAAAACTCAAATCGTGGCATTTGTCGGACAAGATGCACCGCTGATCGAACGCCCGTTAAGTTACGAAATCCGCAATTGAGACACATTTTGAGCATTGTTTTTTTTTTCCCTAGCAGAAAGCCTACCTCGGTTCTCGTTGTGACTCTTGACCACGATGAGCGCATCGAGCTCCTGCAGCTGAGCGTGGAGACACTCCAGCTTGCGTTTGGAACTGCGCAGCTGCGAGTCCACCTGCTGGGCATTTCTCTTGTCGGTGGTGGCTCGGCGGAGGTTCTCGGCTCCCTCTTTGATCTTCAGCTCTTTGCGGATCTCCCTGCGGATCCTCTCCCGGTACTCATCCAGGAGTTGCTGCACACCGGAATCCGAGAGGTCCGAGTTCTGGTCCAAGCCGAGTTGCTGCAGTACCGACAGCCCGCCCGGATCGGTCTGAAATCAGAAAGACGGCCACCTGACTCCGTTTCACCAACGCAACCCAACCACAAGCGACGTTTTGCCGGCGCTCGCAAAATCTCAACAGCCACACGGAGGCGATGCAATGCGCCGTAATACATGATTGGAAAGTAACAGCACTCTTACTTGAGGACCATTTTTGGCTGCTCTACCCGCCTCGGTTTATGAGGGTGAGCTATCAGGAGGCAACGTTGTTAAAAGCCCTTTGAGAGCCTCGAAGGTCGAAGGGTGCCACGTCAATGGAGCCCGCTTCCCATTTACTTTGAGTGCGTAAACAGCTGAGCCCACATTAGTGCGTCTATGCTCAACACTCACGTGATTACAGCAGATTAAAAGAGCGGGCATACAGATAGTCATCGGGGTCTCTGATGCTTCGGGCTGGCTCAAAGGCTGCCTCCCGTCTGCAAGCTTATGGTGCCGATCTCAGGTGCCAAATAAATGCTAGGTTATACGGCTGCTCGATATCGGATAAAGGTGCGAGATGCGATCTGGGCGCCGAGCATTGCGATATCGATATGAGCGAGATATTTAACGCGCAGCTCAAGAAATGAGATTTTCGTCCATATATACATGTCAATTCCAAGTGATTGTTAGTAATGTCCCAAGATAGCTGTTCTCCTTCAAGGCTCCATCTGATTGTTCAAAGTCAGATAAAAGCATGATATTCCGTATGAAACGATGAGCGTATCGCTCGTCTTTGCCATCCGCACATTGCACGTTCCATTATCAAGATGACGAGATGTGCGATCCATCATGCGGCCAGCCAGCCAGCCAGCTTAGTAGATCTGATTACAAGGTCTTATGCCTCGGTGTGCATCCAGCTACAAGCCGACTGGGGCTGCCGATCGGAATCATTCAAAGCTAAAGCCGAGTGCAGCATAGTAGGGCTGAAAACGTCAAATCTTAAGAGAAGGTCGCTGGAAAGCGACGGCGAGTCGTCTGAGTTGGCGTGCCGTGCGTGGGCTTGTGTGGTCAAGCTGATCACTGCCAGTCTTCCTTTGGGTGGAGCACGATGACCCCACGGTGACCCTGACAATCGACCTGACGGTGACGCAGACCCCGAGAACGCATTTCACGGCTCCAAATGTTTGAACGGGACGGTCTCAGAAGACCACCTCCAAACGATTCAAACATTTTTGTCTCCAAAACTGACAAATGACAATCCAAACATGACTTTTTGTCGAAATCTGATTTTGCGACCGTGTGTTGCGCAAGTGTGGCAAATGTTGAGGTCAGTGAGTGTCTATCTACCCTGCGGCCAACCCCAGCAGGGACCTCGGCGGTCACAAACCATGAAAGGCAGGAAAGGAGAATTTGCGCTGTGACAAACTCTTGCTCGTCACAATACAACTTCATCTCGGGAGTTTTCGGACTCAAAACGCCCGAGAGGAAGGCGACTTCCACAGAAGGGCCGAAACAAAAGGTGACCGTCAGAACAGCAACAAGAGTAACACAAGTGATTCAGATTTCCAAAATGTGAAAGAGGAAGCAGCAGATAAGCGAAGGCCACGCTCGCTCGACGCTGGCGGGACGACGAGGCGGCCATGTTGATTTGAGCTGAAGAGTCGCCTACCGAATGATCTGCGTCACTCTGCTCAGTGTGTACGAGGTCATCCGCAGGTTGATCCCTCATGTGGTCCTCAATTGCATCCTCACTAGCCATGTTTGGCCTCTGGCTTTACTCACTCCCCCCTCCCCCCTCCTCACTCGCTTCCCCACCCAGCACTCGCGCGGCGTACGCCACTAATACGAGCCTCTCAAAATCCAGAATGGATTTACGCTCAAAAGCCTGTCGAACTCCAGAGCAAGCGCACGAGCTGGAGGAGACGAGAGAGAGAGAGAGAACAGTGTAGACTTGGGTCGCTTCCTGTTCTGCTCATGGAGGAGTCATGCATTTGCTGCGCGCACACACACACACACACACACACACACACACACACACACACACACACACACACACACACACACACACACACATTCAGTAGATGCAAGCACTGGTGGTTGTGCAAGTGGGAGAGCTCGCAGCTAGCCAGCTTCCTGTTACGACCCAAAGCAGAGAGGCAGCATTGTTTGATCAATTGCGGTCATATTAAACCAATTGTTCCCATCTCTAAAAATATGTACGCAAGTAAAAAAAAAAAAGAAGATTCATGAGGTCGATTTTTTTTTTTTTTAAGTTGTCTTGCTGCTACATTCACAAGTGATCTGCACAGAACACACTATTTACTCACATTCAGTGAGCAGAGCTGTGTTCAACTTGGAAACCCCACAAAGGGTAAAAAGGGCAAAACCTTTTTGCTGACCTTCTAATTCCAAGTCAGGCCAAGGACTTGACATTTCAGCGTTTGTGTTTTTTTTTTTTTTTTTTGCAGGCATCAATAGTTCCCAAAAATAGGTGCACCGTGCCTGGCCACAATTCTACCGATGGCCTGCTGACAATTGAGCCAAGCTAAGTAAAGGGAAGAAAAAAAAAACCCTAAAAGACAATCCAAACTTTTTATTTGTGGAAGCACAATTACTGTGTGCAGGTGGCTGATGGATGCATGAGCAAACAAACAAAACCCTGGCAAACTGGAATTATGATTTGCTCTCTGGTCCACTAGGAATGAGCTTACACAATGTACCTTGGACCGTACGGGTTGCCCGCTAACCCCTCCAATCCCTCTTATTGCGGAAGAAATGAGGTTGCGCAATCTCCTTTTGATATTTTTTTTGTTGTGCAACTTGGCTGAATTGGGTGCGCTATGCCGTCCTGTACCTCACATGCATTCGCGTGAAAAAGTGCATCCGTGTGTTTGAATGGTGCGCATGTGCATGTGTGTGCACGCGTGCGTGCGTATGCGAGTGTGCTCTACTCCACAGCTGGGGAGGATCACAGCAACCTGAATGGCATCTTTGTACAGAAGTCGATCTTCTCCAAAGACTTCAGCAAATGCTTATGTTGGCGCTGCCGGCTTTGTCCATTGTGAACTCGGCTGCAACAAAAAGTTCCTCTGTTTGGGCCGGAATAAGCCCGCCAAAAATCCTCTCTGGGAAAAGTTCTACAGTGCACATGCTTAACCTGGGGGAAGGCGACGGAGAGATCTGGGTGCAAAAGGCACTGCCGTCAAGCTAAATAGAAATCATAGTTGTTTGTTCCCGCTCTATCACAGATTTTTAAGCAAATATCATTTGAAAAGGTTTTACTGTATCCAGGCAACAACAGAACCATCGCTTCAACCTGACAGAGGCTATCCCGATAAAACGGTTTTAAAAGACAGCCAAGAGGGAAAAACAAATCCGAATTGGAAGAGGCAACGTCCCTCGGGCCTCCTCGCGGCGGGACATGCCCGGAGCACCTCATCGGGGGAGCGTCCAGCAGGCATCCCGATCAGATGCCCGAGCCACCTCATCTGGCTCCTCTCAACGCAGAGGAGCCGGCGGCTCGAATTTGAGCCCCTGTCGGACGACCGAACTTCTCATTCCACCTCCCAGAGAGAGTCTGGACATGCCTGCGGAGGAAACTCATTTCAGCCGCTTGTATATGGGAACGCCTTCTTTCTGTCATGACCGACAGCCCAGGACTGCAGGTGAGGGGAGGAATCGAAATCGACCGGTAAATTGCCAGGTAGGTATCGGGAAGGTGGTAAATATAAACTCTCACACCGTCAGAATGAAACACAAGGCAGCAGCCTAAAAGATGTTATGAAAGGAGTCCAAACATCCACAACCCTATCGAACTTCCTCCTGTCTGGACTTTCCCTGTGCAGACACTGTATCCTATTCATTGAATGCCATTTATCCTCCTTAAGTTACTCCTCTCAAAGTTTCCTATGCATTGTTTGTTGGTGGATTAAAACACGCACACACACACACACACACACACACGCACACACACACAAAATGGCGCCAGGCTCCTTCTGATTGCGCCACCGTCTCCAAAAATGGCACATGACAACAATGGCGGAAGTTTAGGTTACATTTGTGCGACGCTGCGACTAACTAAGTCCGACCCTTGCCTGCCTACAGGTTAGAATAGCTCCTATTTTGCCCCCCCCCCGCATGCCGTTTTGGCCTCTGGGTCCAGACAGGACACCATCAAGGATTGAGCCTCGGGTCTGCACTCCCCTTCGAGCCGACAGCGCTATTGTAGCACAACAAACAGACGATATCACATGACCCCAGAACAGTAGCGGGAGAACTCATCTCAATTGCATCGGGGGGAACCACAACCGGGTCAATCATATTCTGTGTCTCTCCAGGCCAGCTTCTACTTACTCCGGTCACACCAGCGGCCTTTGCACATTCTGAAGAGGTCACGGCACATCTTACAGGCTATAATCGGCCGACCTCAAAGGTCATCTCGAGCCTGACTCTGACCCCATGTATTCAGGCGCAGGTCCATGGCAGGGGGGCGTGTGCCGTTTCCGATGGTCAAAAACGGTGCCGGGGGAGAGATCGTGTTTCAGACCATCCTAATGGTATCGTCATGTTTGCGGACCTCGGCTTGAAGATGGTTTCCTCAAGTGGACCTGATTTGAACTGAGGTCTCTTCGTCTACCGGCTTGGTTTCCTCAAGTGGACCTGATTTGAACTGAGGTCTCTTCGTCTACCGGCTTGGACTCACCTCACAGGTTGTGAGGCGTGTAAACCGCACACACGCACGTGTCAAAATGACTGTTGACTGCGAAGGAGCACCAACACTATTTACAGCCCGTTGAAGTCAGTCTTGCCGTTTGTTACCGAACTGAACTTTTCAAATCCTCGGTCTCTTTTATCTTCTTGCGGCAGAAGGAGAAGACGAGGTTGCGAGCGCCGTTCAACCCGTCGCGGCGGATCGTAACACGAGGGAGACGATCAGCCGGGTTGGATGAAGGAGACCTCTCCAAAGTCTTCCGAGGACATTAAAGAAAATGCAAGAAGCCGCCGCCTCCCTCCTGCCGGATGATCGATACAAAAGTCATTTGGCTGCTCCTCTCCGCCCAGGAAAGAGCCGGCGGCGAGCGGCAGGAGCTGCTCTCCCATGCTCTTACACTCGAAACCCCCGAAAGAAATAAACAATTCATGAAGGAGGCTGCAGACTGCAGACGGCAGCTTCCCCAAAGCGAACGTTACATTATCAGCTGGGCGCAGGGCTTGCGTCCTCACCACCGGGCTTGATTTACACCCCTGAAGTCATGTGACGGAGGAGGGCCAAAAAGATAAACAGGCTGCGAGCAAATCAAACCGAGAGAAAAGAGTTGCGCTGCACTTCTGGTCTCGGCCTGCGTGAGAGTTCATGTGTTGCTCAAGGAAGCAAAAAGAAAGGCCAAGACATTGAGTGACCTCGACGGATTCGACCCACGTTTCGGTGAGACCTCTTAAAAAAAAAAAAAAAAAAAAAAGGATGAAAATCCGATGAAAATAACCCACAGATTATTTGATTACCAAAAGAATTCTTATCTGCAGCCCGACTCGTTTTAATTAGAATGTATTTTGAACTGGGTCTATCGGTCTGCGATACGATGAGGTTCTCCCACTGAATGTGGCCCCGTGCGAGAGGGTTCAAGCGACCTCAATCGGCGCATCTCCGTCCGCCATCACTCGCTGATCATTGCCTGCCGCTCTGCAGTCACCATGACAGCATCACGGAATACGTGAGAGTGGGCAGAAAAACCCGACATTGCGGTGCAGGGAAGCTCGACAACGTGCGAGGTATACCTACCACTCAATTGCTGATTGATGAGAGGACGCAAGTGCACACTCGGGAAGGAATATGTTTAGGCATGCGTATCGAAAAAATAAAATACTTCACACATTACAGCTGCTGAGTAGACAACTGCAACGCACTCTGGTACATAAGCTATACCAAAGTGGACAATAGTGAAATTAGGGATGTGTCTTTATAATCAATGACTCAATGAATTGATCATAAAAATATAACATAAAGATATAAATAATTCACACTCACATTCACATCTAGGACACTACTAGGAGGCTTTCATCAACCAAGCGTGGTTTTTAAAATGAGAAGAAGCCACAGCGCCCCAATAAGCACACACGGATAAGTTGCACGAAGGCCACAGCCCAAATTCGAAAGCCCTCAAAACTTGTAACCGCTCGCCCACATTGCCGCCCAAAACGAATTGAGAGAATTCCCAAAACAGTCAGAATGTGCCCGAGTGCTGCCTGGATGGAACAGAACCACAGCTGACCTTGATCATTTTTGACCATTTCCTTATACTCCATCCGAGGTTGGATCGACACCGGGAGATCTGTAACCTGACACACTGGACGACTGCACAACACCTTCCAATGACTCACAGCAGGCCCTCCACCCGATGCCAACTACCGCGCGGGAGTCCAAGGTGTCGTGCCCCTTTCATTAATAAAAGCATTGAATTGAATTGCGCAAAGACTGAGAAGATATGACTTCTTGAAACAATCCAAACGCTTACTTATCCCAATCGATTAGAAGTTTCCCCCCTTCTCCAAATTCAAGATATTAATTCTAAAGAACGTCAAATGCTAAATAATCAGTTCATGTCGTAAACACGCACGCGAAACTGTTTTGCATACGTGCAACACAGGCGTCAGAAAGTCAAGAACTTACTTGCAGCTCGTTGGCCATCATGTGCTTCCAGGTGACTCCTATTAACCGCCTGCTTCGCTTTCAAGATCAGATCATGATGCACTTCCCCAGAAAGCGGCCAAACGTCGGGGGCGCCGTGGTCAACAACAGTGACAAAAAACTACTCGGAGAAAGTGTCAACATGAACCCGGCCAGGAGATGCTTTGAGCGGAGAGGAGAGAGGAGACCGTCGCCTCCTCGTTGCACCCTGAGCCGCATCGCGCAGTTGCAAGGCGTCCTGCGCTGGTGTGAGCGAGGGTCGTTGAGGTGGCTGGCTGCTCATCCTCTGCAGATGGGACACGGAAGGCTCGCCGCCGGAGTCACCGCCACGCTCCGCTCCACTTCACGACCACCGCCGGGACCATGTCGCCACCGTCAACTCGCTCCTAACAAGACGCGGGCGGTTGAAAGCTGACAGGAGCTCAGGGGGAGGGCGAAACGGGCATCAAGTCACTTAAGGGAGGGGAAAGGAAAAATAGCACTTCCGGTTTGACCTTTCAAAATATGCCTACTACGGCGCATGCGTGTCGATGCGAAGGAGCAGCCGTTGGAAAAGTTCTCAGACACCTACTTGAGTAGAAGTACAGTACAAATATAGTGCCAGTGTAAAAAAAAAATATATACTGGTGAAAGCAGAAGTACGATTTCAACCCCTTCTGAAAAGTAAAAAGAAAATCACAGGTTGTAATTTGAGGACAAAACTAAAAAGTAAAGATGAATGTTTACAAAAAGATCCTTAAACTCCGCAAGTGGTTCTAGTGTTGTGTTTAATCCAATGTGTGTTTATGACGCCGATGGCCCTCCTTGTACAGTAATCTGCTATGACACATTATACACAACCTTAATAGCTTTAATAATGGTATAAGAGTCAACGTTTAGGGTTGACTGTACCTTTAATAATCCATCTCAATTGGGAAGAAAGACACATTTGATTACATGACCATTATTTTAAAGAAGTGAGAAAGGCTGGCGACCAGTCCAGGCTGTAGCTCACCTCTCGCCTGAAAGTCATCCAAGACTGACTCAAACCATCCCCAAGGAAATTAAAAAAGGCCTCATTCCTTGTTTATTAGGCCAAAGGATGTCTTATTTTGAAAATGTAGCATATTTCCCCGCGCGTTAGCCATCGCTATTAATGAAAGCTTGATGCAGTCCAGCACTCGAGTGTGCTTCATCCGGACCTGTTGACATTGACATTTGACAAGCGGAAACCACAGCAAGGTGGCGCTAGCAGCTGTATGCTTTATCGTTGAATACATTCATTGGCCATAATATTAGGCGCTACTGCACAATGACTTCGAATGTGGTTGTAGTTGTCAGTGGTGTGGAACAGTTCTGCGTCACGCTAAACGTTTCAAATCGGATTTGAGGAAACACACAGCACAATGTACGATGCAGCGCGGTTCCACTTTCGTGTCATTCTGACAGTGTCAATCGAAAATGAGCATGACGAAATGATTTGTAACAGACCATATTGTTGTGCAAGTGTATAGGCAGATGTACCCGATTTAATAGTCATGGGCTGGCATCGGCGTGTAGGAAGGATCGGCTAGAATCTATCGATCCATTTTCTATACTGCTTGTCCTCAGTCTGTCCCAGCTGATTTTGGGCAATTGGCAAGGCACACCCTGGATTGGTTGCCAAACAATTGCAGTACAGATAGGCAAAAAACACCCATTCACGCTCACAGCCACATCTAAAAAGCACGATTTATATTGAATATATTTGGAGTGCATTCAACATATGACAGACATCACCCCACTTTATTCATGAACGGAACAAGGGTCTTCTCAGTTTTGCACAGAAAGCAAAGTGGCAAATGGAACACCGGAAGTAGTTATGCGGTTAAAAAAAAAGATCGAAATTTCACATAAAACATCATTTTCAGTTTCAACAGTGACGTTTCACACGAATACATCAACATCACATCAAGACACTAAACATGTCAAGAAAAAACAGGGAAATTCAGGCACTATAGACCGTATCATTGAAATGAAACATGCATTGTTAATGTTGGTTGTGCTACATCGCTCGTCGGAGCTGGAATGTTTTTGATAAAACTTTGGATGAATCAATAAGTATTTATAGCAGCTATCAGCAACATTTACTGATTGTCTTAAAAATCTTATTTTACAGAGCATATTTTGTGTACGCGTAGAAATTGATTTATAAAACTATCGAGTAGGGTTTATTGTGCATTTCAAACGCCATACATAATGGCAGATATAGAAACTCCTTACAAAAAATACGGCTTCCTCATTGTATAACTTGTATAGATACTTGCTGAATAAATCGTTAAATTATGTAGAAAACTGCAACCTATATTCTGGACATGCTGCTTTCAAAAGTCATATCAAGTAGGATTCATCAAACTCCTCAATGAGCAGTCCAACATAGAAAGTCTTGAACATAGAAGAGCATTACATCGATACTGCATCAAGTACACCACAATAATTCCGATGTGCAATTTTGCATACGGCGAGTGTCTTGCCCAGCCTTTAGGTGGCGCTGTTGTTTTTTTAATCATATGTATTATCAGGTTAAGCCTACCTTCCGACCTGAAAATGTTTGATAAATGTCTACACACCCCTGTTTCTGTGATATAAAAAAAAGATGCCCAAGTATTTTTAACACTATTAACTCCGTTAATGTGACCCTTAACCTGTAAAATTAAATAGAAAAAAAAATCAACAGACACATTAACGGTGGAAAAAGTTTTGAAATGTTTGATCTTTAACAAAAGCATGGCATTTGAACAGGGGTTCATGGACTTTTTTTTTTTTACACCAACTGTATCGTAATGTATTGTGACTAACTGATATTACGTATAATAAAATATGTGATCTAGCCTGCACAGTGAAGTACACACAGTGAAAGACATGAACAGCATCCATTAAAAAAATAAATAAATAAAAAAAAAGAATAACGTCTGAGCATAATGTCCTTTCAGGATTAAAGATTCCCCCATCCTCACCAGCTGCCTGCCCAAAACGGTGCATTGTCTCATCCCAAATAAAGCCTTCTTCCCTCAGCATGACATCATCGGTAACCTTGGCGACTCCCTGAATGCTGGCCGACCCGGGAAATGAGGCGACGGCTTTGGAATTTGCGAGGGATGACAACAACTGCACCCCTGACGCCCCCGCCCCGTCTCCCAACACCCTCGCAAGGCCCTCGGCCGCCCATTCCAGTCCCCTCCTCTCAACAACAGGACAAGGAGGGCCTTCTTCTCTCCCACACCCGCTTCAGTCCTCCCTGACTGATGGGTGCATGAAATCCCGGTTGTCCGATGAAGTCACAGCAACATTCAGTGACTGCGTTCTGTTGAGTGTGCCCAAAGCCTTTCCAGACTGGAAATAATCCTATTTGATGAACACAATGGTCTGTTTCATAGCTGTTTTTTTTTTTTTTTTTTGTCACTGAGAGGGTTTGCTGGCCCACAACAAACATCAATAAACACAACGGACACTTACCTGTACGGACACTTCAACTCACATGCTAATTAAAGTAAAACAGAAGTGCAATTTGTCATAGCTTAAGAGACATATACACAACCACACACACAGGAGGAGTGTTGTTCCCGCGCCACTTCATTGTAAACACAAAGCGGTGCTTTGAATTGAAGACGAGTTGAGCAAGGAAGCACGCTCTGGTCCTACTTAACAGGCCGTGATATGCGTGGCTGGATAAGGGCAATCAATCAAACAGCCCTGCGCAGTCTAAAATTAAAGGGTGCTAAATATAAATCCTTGCGCTCATATAACCGATGACAAGTCCTGATCAAAATCGTCAACGTTCAGGCTGCGGTCGACTATTATAGAATAAACAAAGGTTCAATTGTAACCGGATAAACACGTGGGTAGAAGCTAAACATGCCGTGACCCAAAAACGTAAATGAAAGTTCACAAACTTGATATACGTTATTTAAACACATCGGGTCTATTGTCTACTGGTCATGATCGTAATCATTATGATAGCTAATGTTGCCACCGCATTTTATCGGCAGCTCGTCTCACTGAGTTCAGATCAGCGACTCGGAGAGGAAAACATTTCTTAAACGTTATGTACGATTGATTATCTCATTGCTTAATTCTTATACTGAGTTGACTATTTAGTTGGTTTTTTGTTCCAGATCTAGGTATGCATATATTTTGGGCAACCTTCATTGCTTAATTCTTATACTGAGTTGACTATTTAGTTGTTTTTTTCCCAGATCTAGGTATGTATATATTTTGGGCAACCACAATAAGCCGACACATGGCAAGTGTGCTGCAGTAAATCGCCCCATGATTAGTTTTGGGTTCGCAAACCTGCTATTTTCCTTTTTGTACACACTGTAACTCTTATTTTGCACAGTCTCTGGGTTATTTTGGGTGTAATTCCACTGTCAACTACTAGATGGTGGTCTATTATTTTGTTGGAAGAAGAATGAAACACCGAAGTATTTTATTTCAGGCCCGCCGAGTTTCTCTTGACTTTGATTTTTTTTACACCTACAAATGGGGACAACTGTTGGCTCCTTTTATCATTTAAATGCACAGTCTCTGGGTTATTTTGGGTGTAATTCCACTTCAACTACTAGATGGTGGTATATTATTTTGTTGGAAGAAGAATGGAACGCGGAAGTATTTTATTTCAGGTCCGCCTGGTTTCTCCTGACTTTTGACTTTTTATACCTACAAATGGGGACCACTGTCGGTTCCTTTTATAATGTACCATTTATATTATATTGTGAAATGCTTGTTGGTTTGGGGGAAAAAAATAGATTTTTTCACTGTGATTTGAATGGATTGTGATAAGACCGTTTCAAATCTTGCCACTTAACTTACCGGTGAGTATGTTGCAAAAGAGCAAACTTTTCTTTTGTCTTACACGTCCTTGTTTGTTCGGTGACTAGTGCTGGGTCTCCACCTCCACCACAGTCCAGTCTCCAGGTGATGGCCCCCTGGCTGCTGTCGAGGCGATTCAAGGTTCCGCCTGTCCCCACGGGTAAGAGGAGGAGAGGTGGACAGCCTCCGTTTCCGGACAACATCAGCGTTTGGTTGATCAGCTGCTGAACAATGTCCACCTTTTGGTTCCACTCCGCTTCGTGCGGAGGCAACGGACACAGCTGTCTCTGGTAGCATCGCATCCTCCTCCTCCCTTGCGCGTTCCCGTTCTGCTCGACTCTGGCGTCCTCGTCCTCGTCGCTGGTTTCCATGGCTTCGTAGATGGTGCACAAACCCGAAGAGGGCGAGAGCGTGACTCCGGTCGGGCTCCTTCTCAGCTGCTGCTGCTGCTGCTGCTGGATCTGCTTCTGCTGCATGCGGTACTGCTGCTCCAGCTCCAGTTGCCACTGCAGGACCTGCCTGCGCTGGCGGTGCTCTTGCTGCTGCTGTTGGAGCTGCAGCTGAAGAAGTTCCCTTCGCTGCTTCTCCAACTGCTTCTGCTGCTCAAGCCGCAGCCGCTCCTCCTCCAACCACTGCCTCTTCTGCCTCTCCTGTTCCTGGCGATGCTGCATTTCCTGAAGCTTCTCCTGGTGCTGCTGCAGCCTCCGCAATTGCTCCCCACGCAAAGCGCACGCATCGTCGTTGCCGGTTAAAGGTTGTTCGATTTGGGCAAACTGCGCCGCGACGGTTGGGTCGATGGGCCTCCTGTTGCCTGGAACCAGTGCCAGATAGTGACCATTGGCTATGGGAACCGCGGTGGAATGGTTCTGGTTGCGGTGGTCTTCCAGGGAGCACGTGTGCAGCCGGTCATCCGCTTCATCTCTCTTCTTGTCTCCTGTGAGACATTCAGTGTCACTTTGTGCATCCGTCAGATGCATGCAGAAATTGAACGGGTGGCACAACGACAAGGACAAGGAGGTGGTGGGTTCAGGAGAAATCTGACGGGGTGAAGGTGCAACTCAAAGGAAAGTCACATTCAAGACCGCAGTTTTCGTCGGTAACCCGTCCAGCGCAACATATCAAGTATCTGTTCAAAGGAAAAAGTATTTCCGCGTTTATTGTCGTCTACTTGCTTTGAGCGTATTGTTTTATTGCACACAGTGGAAAAAGAAAGCCTCAGGACGAATTTAGTGAGCTGTAAACCGTGTAAAAAAAAAAAAAAAAAAAAAAAAATCGCAACCAAGACTGTGGACAGTAAAAAGGTATCCTAGCCCCAAAATAATAATAAATTGCATTAATATTTGCAGGGCATTTTGGCGTTTGACATGACTTGACAGGCAGGAGTGACTGCAGCCGCATGATAACGTGGGCAGCCAATGGAAATGCTCGCACTTGTCTCAGTCTTCGTTATCACATGGAGCAGCAGTCATTCCCTGCACACACGATGCAATACAGAAGAGGACAGACAGGGAGTCCCGTCACCGAGATAAAATTGCACTCAAAAAGTCGAAATTAGCCAGCAATGTAGGTGTACTTTAAAAACATCGAACGGTGATGAGCATCAGTGAAACTCGTGCTCGACATCATCAATGAACAATCAAACGTGTTTGCAAAATTACGATTTACCTGCCACAAACACAAACTTAAGACGGTGTAGCAGGGACGGATGGCCAACTGGAGACCAAATATGTATCGCCTGTAGTTTCAAGTTGTAATATCACCATCCGCCACTAGATGGCAGACATGGCCTTGTTGCACTTAGACCAGGTCTTCTACATACTCCAACGTGAGTCATTTTCGGCATATTTAGAACGATGTGCAGGTCAAACATAGTACCTCAAAAATACTGCAAATTTGAGTGAGTTGATTCTTGTTAAAAATGCACAAGTGCCATCATGTTGCTAAAAGGCACTTCGGAAAAACCCGATGGCTGCAGTTTACCGACTGCCATGGAGGTCAGTGATAGTCTCCCTGATTTGTTTTCACCACCGGCTTACTAAGACTCATAAGTGGAAGCGAGGCTTGACTAGGACAGGACACGGGTACGGTAGACAGTAGGCACATGCTCTATGTCAGTTTACAAATGGCTCCGGAGTGTCGGGACGGGAGTGTGCAAGGCACGGGAAAAGGCATGAATGGCGACAGCAACATTCAGAGGCATCCGTGTGGCTTGCGCCAGGGTGGGAAATTTCTTGGTGCGGGCTAAGAGCACAAAAGCATGAAGATGACGTGAAGTGTCTTTGCTGTGAGGATGTGGATCTTTTATATTTTCATTTTCGTTCTTTTCTAAACGTGGACAAACTGCTTTTTTTTTTTTCATTTTTGTTCTTTTCTAAACGTGGACAAACCATGCCAAGCCTATTTCCTGTTTGGCTGGGTTTGGTATTTTTTTCTTTCTTTCTTTTTTTTTTTTTAATTGCGCTAAAGATCCAAGAGTACCAAATGTTTCTGTTCCATGGAAAAAAAAAGATTTTTACTGAGGCCATTAAATCAGTCATGAGAGTGGTTTTCCTGGAGTTTGGATCTTCAAAAAGCTGAGGGCGGAACGGTTTTGCCAAATAAAATCTCGTGTCAAACTGGTGCCAAAAAGAGGAGCTTTTGTGTGTGACTATTAAACCAATGCAACCCTGCCAGTGACTTGCCCCACGGACAAAGTACGTTGAACCGCAAGGTGCCAAAATTGGTCATGTTCCCAACCTGTTTCGAAAGCTCCACAGAGCACCTAACGAGTGAGCGCCACCCTGCCAAAGATGAGGTCTGAATGTGATGTTGGCGTCGACAGGTCGCGTCAAAACGGCATGAGCATGCTGGAGGGCACGAGGGTAACCTCTGCATTCTTTCATTTGACAAAATTCCATTTTGCATCACTTCCTGTTTTCCGGTTATTCCCATGGGAAGGAAGAGGCGGTGCCATGGGAAAATAAACGTGCTGACAAACAAATACGCGGTGATTGAAACACAAGGGTAGTCATTTGCTGGAAGACAGAGGAAAAAAAAAAAAGAAACAGGAACAATGCCTTGCAATGATGTTTTAATGGAATTTTGAAAGACAACCTAGTGTGAACTATTAATTTATGAAGAGATCGAGATCAGAATTCCTTGAACGGTATCGGATAGTACACAGTCTTTTTGCTAGGTAAACATGCAATATATCGTTGAAAGAGTTAACCAGGCGTCCACTATGGGTGTGAAGCTGCGAGAGAGATGATGAGCAATTCATGGTCAAATCACAAACAACAGACTAGTTAGTCTTTTCGGCGACACGACAGATGCGCTAGCTGCGGTTTGTCATCGAGCCACTGAAAATCGAAAGCCAGAAATACTGTCGGCAAACTGCATGTTCTACGCTTTAGCAATCTATGCAAACAAAAGAACCGGACACAGTTAAAAACTTCACCTTAATCAACGGCAATCTAAGACTCCCATACCTACCTTGTCACATCTGTAGAAGCGTTAATAACTAGCCTTGATATGGACGGAACAAAAACCAACTTCTTAAAGAGCATGGCGCACGGAACTATCACTACGGTGCTGCTGAACGCTGAGGGTATATACACAAAATCGGGAGGTTCGGGATAGACAGAAACAAACAAAAAATAACCAAATTAAAAAAAAAAAAACATTGACATTTGATAGGTAAAAACAGCAGGATAAATACAGTCCCATTGTGTTCCTTCTGTTTTTGTTGTTGTTGTTGTTTTCGTTTAAAAGTTCAGTCACATTGGATCAATCCGTCCGTACCCTTCACCAAACTTCAAAAGAACATTCGACTAGAAAATGATCTTAGTTATTGTACATTGGCTAAGTTGAAGCCATAGACTTAAAAGCGTTGGCCATAACAGTGGAGGAGCCTTCATTTAAAAATCGCTACAGTCAACATTTTCATCTTCTTGGTCATCAATTTCCTAATATCTTGCTCTCCTTTTTGTTTTCTTCTAAGCTATCTAACCCAACTGGAGAGTAGACAAACACTAGGCAAAAGGGGAGGGTTGCGGGGAAAAGGTGCATTCCGGTGGGGGTACTTGCGAGGGGCTTATACATTACCTTCCAGATAATCAGTCTTATCACATATGGTAGAGTAGTAGGATGGCTGGTTCTCATCTGTATTTGCAGCTTCCACAGGCCCGAGGTGGAGACTTGCCTCCAATGGATCCACCTCCTCGAGGTGCTGTGCGGTCAGCTCACCGCCAAGCATGTAGTGGCGGTCATCCAGACCGGGCTGCTTATCTTCTGGAAAACTCAAAGGCATCAGGTCCACAGGTCGGCCCAAGAGGTCCTCGGCGGCGGCAGGAGGCGGCAAGGTCAGCTCCTTGATGAGTGACGGGTCCTTGGCCTCCTCTGGTAGCTGCTCCTCATTTTCCAGGGAGAAGATGCCGGGGCTCTTTCCGCAGCTCTCGGCCATGGAGTGGGCGTTCGAGTTGGATGTGGTGCAGTCAAAGCCATAGGACGCCACGGAATTTGCTGACTGGGGAGTGGTCTCCCCTTCGTCCTCCTCACCTTCTCCTGATGGTGTTTCTCTGGCCTCCTCATCCTCATCGAGAGCGGACAAATTGCATGTCGGAGTAGGGCTTTCAAACGCAGCGCTTACATCCATGGTCACGGGCGCATCAGCTTCATTAATCTGCATCTCCCCCTCTGTGTCACTGGCCTCATCGACAGAGGTGGTAGGCGAAGATGGGGCAGATGCCGGAGCGGTTGGGGGTCCTGTTCCCAGAACCTCATCAGCCGGCAGTGTCTCAGCCTCTTCCTCTTCTCCGTCGCCTTTCTCCAGGTGAATACCCAGATCCTGCTCCATGTCAGGCTGGAGTGACGCAGGAACCGGAGTATGCTGTTTGTCTGAGCGGGATTCCACCCCTGAACTGCTGTCATAGTCCCGTAGTTCTTCTGGCGTGCTCGTCTCGCTGCCGCTGTGGGCGGCCAGTGCCGTACCACTCAGACTGCTAGACTGGGAGAGGCCGACAGCGGCGGGAGCAAGCATATTTGGAGTATCTTCAGGGACCGAGGCGTCCAGCTCATGGAAGGACCGCTGTCGCTCAGAGTCTTGCCCCGAGAGAGGAGCCAAGAAAGGGGAGCTGCTGTCCAAACCAGTTTGGGCAGGGGACTGTGTGGGGCTTTCAGACTCTCCCGCGCCGTGATCCGAGATCGGGCTGGGGGAGGAGACAGAGCGCAATGAAGCCGGCTGAGGCTGAGCCCAGGTATCAGAAAAAGGGTTGGTCTGACCCCAGGAAGTGGTGGGAGGGACAACGGATGGCGAATCGGCGCGATTGAGGTTGTCTAAATGCGCCTCCTCATTAAAGTCGTCGTCTTCTGCATTTTCACAGCTTTCCGTGACTCCGTCACTGTGCATTTCTACATCTTCATCCTCTTCGTCATCATCTTGTTCTTGCTGCTGGAACACGTGATGATGTTCCTCCGCTCTCTCCGAACTTAAATCCATGTCATCCACACGTTCGTCCTCTTCATCGTCTTCTTCATTGGCTAAAGTTTCCACATTGGGAGAGCCCATGAAGTTACCGTCACCTTCAGAGCCACGGAGGCTCGAGTCAATCAAGGCGTCCGAGCTCTGAGTACCTTCCAATATCGCGGTGTGCTGGGTGCTGCTGAAGTCGGAAATGCCCTGCTGTCGGCTGCTGGTGCAACTGCTGACATCCTCGGAGTCCATTCCTGACAGCAAGTCGTCGCAGTGCCAGCCGGTAGAACCGCCGAAAGCCGAAGGTCTGATCTGGAACTCCTCCGAGGGTTGAGACGTGCTCATATCGGTGATCATGGAGGAGAGATGATGGCCCAACCTCCTCTGCTCCTCATCTTCTTCATCCTCATCATCCTCATCTTCATTTATTTCTTCATCTGCCTTTTCCACCGCTACTTCCTTTTCATGAGGCGACAGCATGTGCCCGGAATTAAAATCCTCCATGGTTGAGGCACCCAAAAATTGAGGCTGCGCCATCGCATAGAAGGCCTCTGTGGAAGGAGCAGTGGAAGTCATCAGATTCTCTTCCTCATCTTCTTCATCTCTCCTCATCTCCCATTCCTCGTCCTGGTCATTGCGCTCCCCTGTCGGGAAGTTCATCATACTGTGAGATGCCTGGGGATCAATATCACATGGCTCCACCGTCTGGTTCCTGTTCCAAGGATCTGGTCGGACATGCATGTTTGGCAGATCAGAGGGATCCTGAAATTCTCTGATCTGAGAAACAGGGACCGGTGGCGAACAGGGAGGAGACATGACTGTGGTTCCGAGGGAAGGAACCGAGTCACTTGCAGACTGATCAAATTTGAAAGGGTCATTTTGTGCTGGCTGTTGAAAATTGGAAGCTGGCTCATGACTGAATCCGGCTCCCTGGTGTGGCTCCTCTGTGGGCTGACAGAATGTTTCATCAGGGACCTCGGGAGACATTTTGCATGCATGAATCAGAGGTTGTTCTTCCACAGGCTCTGGTGTCAACTCTCGCAAGGGCTCAGGTTCTGATTCAAGAAGGGTTTCAATGCTTGCATCTCGTACTGGTTCTGGTGGGAGATCCTGAAGGACTTCTGGTGTTGGTTCTCGCAAGGGTTCCGGTGTGGCTTCCTGCCTTGTTTCCGGTACAATTTCTTGTTGGATTTCTGGTGTTAGTGCACATGCTTGTTCTGGTGAAGGCTCTGGAGTGGTATCTGAAGTTATTTCTTGCAGAGGTTCGGGACTTGAATCTTGTTCGGGTTCTGGTGTGAGCGCTCGGAGGGGCTGTGGTGTGATCTCGAGCACATGTTCTGGTGTTGGTTCTCGAACAGCATCCGGTGTAAATTCTCCCATAGGTTCCGGTGACGATTCTCTGAGAGGTTCTGGTGATTGTTCTCGTTGGGGTTCTGGTGTTAGTTCTCGGACAGGCTGTGGTGTAGGTTCTCGAATGGATTCTGCTGATGGTTGTAGTATAGGCTCTGGTGTAGGTTCTCGTATAAATTCTGGTGTAGGTTGCGGTATGATCTCTGATGTTTGTTCTCTGACAGGCACCGGAGAGGGTTCTCGTATAAATTCTGGTGTGGGTTCTCTGATATATTCTGGTGTTGGCTGTGGTATGGGCTCTGGTGATGGCTCTCTCATGGGTTCTGGTGCAGTTTCTAGTATGGGTTCTGGCGTGGGTTCTTGCCTTGGTTCTGGTATTTTTTCTTGTTGAATTTCCGGTGTTAGTTCATATGCTTGTTCTGTTGACGGCTCCGCAGTGGGATCTGAAATTATTCCTTGTACTGCAAAGGCTGATGGGATCGTAGGAGGCATTTGCTCTGCAGTTGCGCCATGAGATTCCACCAAGGCCACCTCTGCAGGTGATTGGGACTCATTTGACCCTACAATGGTAGCTGCTGCACTAGCTATTGCTGCAGCAGCAGCAACAGCAGCAGCAATTTCCCCTCCAGTTTCAGCAGCTTCTTCTGCTTTGGGTCCACGTTTCACAGGTGTTGGGGTGCTGCTGCCCACAGTCTTCTTGGCGCTAGTATTCTTGGTTGCCACGGTTTTGGAGGCTGGTGTCTTGGCGACATCCTTGGAAGGTGTGGACTTATTCTCTTGTGTTTTGGAACGGTTCGGTGCCTTTGTGTCTGCAACTTTACTTACAGATGGCTTTTTGGCGAGACTGTCTGATTTTGAAGCTGGTTTAGGCGCCTCGGATCTTGTTGATTTCAGAGTTGCAGAGGGTCGGCTGAGTGGAGAGTCTGCAGACTTTTTGGCTGCTGGGGTGGCAGATTTGGTAACATCTAGTGGGGAAAAAAACACACAGTATTACAATAATCAAATGAAAATACCACCACATAAAATGGAACAACAAATAGGTGGGGAAAAAATCCATCCCTTTTCAATGCTGCCTATCCCCTACTGGGTCATGGGGTGCTGAAGCCTATCCAAGTTGACTCCTAACTCCGAGTGGTGCTCTGAACTGGTTGCAGGGTACATAAAGAGATATTTACACTTCAACTCACACTGTCACTCGATGGGAACTGAACCTGCACACTAGTCAGGTCAAGTGTACCACTACACCATCAGTGACTGACAAAACAGGCATTTAAAGTACACCTTTATGTGATAATATATAAAAATATGACTGGAAATGCACAGCCGTAGAAAATCCACATTACAGACCGGCCGTGGCCACAATTGAATGACCTCCACCAAAGGGTGCAGGCGAAACTGTATTCTCGTCCTTGTGTACAGCAGAGAAATATCTGGTCCTTGTTTTCTTTGTCACATTGCTGGTAAGAATCCAGCAAGTAGGACGGAATGTAAGACTGCAGAACACCGCAGCAGCCACAGTCACGACAAATTCTGGTTCTCCAAGCCTCAGCGATAGTGATGATGCCGAGGTAATCCCCTGACCCAACGTCATCGCTCACCTGCATATTCTGATGCGTTCATATGAAACCTGATCAGCAATATAAACACGTAGAAGAATAACAGGAGCAGTTATTTATATACAGACTCACTAGCAGTTTTGTGGATACTCTATGCAAAGGAGTCTGCAAAAGGCAATTTATATTTAAGACATCATTAAAAAAAAAAAAAAAATCAGTGGATGGTTTCACAATCAAACTCATTTGTATATGACATCATTCATACAGCCACCAAGGCGCTGAGGTTCTTGCATCTGGTTTCATCCAAATCCAGCAAAGCGAATGCAGTTTACAGATTATACTTTTGAGTGCACCGTACCTTTTTTTGCAGGGGTTATGTTTCGAGATGTTTGAGATGCAGGGGTTTTGACGGCAGAGGGAGTAGATGAGGCCGATTTGGTTGCAACACTGTTGGCACCGGTAGCGGAGGTTTTCGGGGTGGCTGGTTTGGATGTCGCGGCGGGGCTCCTGGTTGTGATGGTGGAGGGCGGTCGAGTTGAGCCTGTGGTAGGACGGGATGCGGTTGTGCCGGTTGTGGGTCTGCAGAAAAAAAAAAAAAAATTAAAATGTGAAACATGTAAGTAGCATACAGGTTAGGAACATGGATCCAATGTGGACAAAATGTCAAGTTTCAGTCCGGGGTCAGAAGTGAATGTTTAACGATGTGTCGGTTGGCGTTACCGCAAGTGAAATGGGAACACTGAAGAAACAGTGGAAAACAGGAAAGTGCAATTCCAGAAAACAAGAATGTAAAACTTTCCACCTCAGAAGACGTGGATCGACTATAATTAGTTCGATTAGATTAGCGTTGATTTAGCGGCGACCGTAAAATGACCTTATCCGACACAGATGTGGCATCAGGCCCAATCCTTGTGTAAGCAGTTTAAGGAAATTGATCTTAACCCGAAAACTACTCTCTGCTGGACTTACAGAAGTAAATAAACCTCCTTGTCTCCTTCTCAACTCAGTTCAGTGCTTCGAGCTCACTTACGCATTTTGTAAAAGCCCAGGCTCTTCTCTCTCAACTACAAGCTCGTGAGCAATCATTAAGTGGGACAGGAAGTGAATGACGATGTACCCCAGAGAGGCATCTCCCCTCCCCTCGGTCTCTGGACAGGATATTCATCCCATGTTGAAGTGACACGTGAGGCAGTACGCATCAGCCTGCATGCTAGGCTCGCCTGCTTGGCCCCGAAGCTGACTGTGTGTCAGGTCTGAGTAAAGTAACCTACATCGAGTCGGCCTGACAAGGCGATGGTGTGCCGTCTTCAGGGTACATGCTACACTAACCGCCAGTTTCTAAATTAAGACTTGAGTTACCGCTGACAGAACGAGAACAGTGGGGAAAAGGAAGATGGCCGGGGCCACGTTAATCTTTCATCGTGAATGGATTCGAAAATAAATAAATAAAATGGAAAAACTTCCCTGCCTCCCCTACAAGCACACTCTGGAACAAGGTTTTGGAGACACGAAATAAGACCAGAATCAATCGGCAGTCCCTAAACCGGGATGTAGTAGAAGTACAACGTTGCGTTTTGAAATTTACAAGCTGATTTTCCCCACTAAATCGTTGCGACAAGATCACTAAAAAACTGATACTCAATGATATAAATTCTTTCAAATGTATTTGAATTTCAAATGAGATTAGCTTGCCGTGCCGTTCATGTTTTATTTGGGGTGGTTTAAAAAGTTGAAAAGCAGGCCAACATCAGATCCTCGCAAAAAATAATATCCATACGGAACTCGAAAACCCTTGTTTCAGGTCCCCGGGATTCATTTGCAAAATCGCTACAGCAATTTGCTCCTCAAATGAAGTCATTGATTGGCAATATCGCTCCTCAACTAAATAAGTTATTTCGAGGCCTGATTCGGGATTTTTGCAGGCAGAATATTCATCAAGGCCAGTGCTCATGATCGACTGGCCCCTCAAAGGAAAAGGGATCATCTGAAATGGCACGGCCACTTTCGAGAACGCTGGAGAAGAACCAGTTGACTGGAAGAGAAATAAGAGCAGGCGTGTGGAGGGGGAAATATTCCTCTGATGACGTTATCTGTGTGCCTTGTTCCTGCGAATGAAACAAGAGCATTGAGCACAGCTGAAAATCCGTGACGGTATTTCAGACCAAAATCTATTTTGCGATTATGTTTCCCAATGTTTGGCAACTGGAACAATCTGTGAAAACAGAGCTCCATTGATCATTTCATTATTTCAGGCTCCCATTCGTTCTGTGATCATGATTGCTTGCAGCTGAATGACACAGAAGGCCTGATGTCGTTCTGAAAGGAGGTCACTCGGCCTCAGTATGAAATTCAAAACACAGCTAGTATTAAAAAAAAAAAAAAAAAAAAAATGCAAACAAAAACAGCTGTTACTTTGCTTCCTTCATTTTCACCACAGTGCATTCGAGCTTGAGTAAATGTTAAACGGGGATCCCAGAAAGGCACCGGAGATGCAAAATCAGATGACTCATGCGGCCGGTTGCTACGGGCACACTGCGAGAAGTTTGCCTGAGGAGTAATGAGAACGCTAGCTTTGTCGCAAATACAAATGTACTCAATTATTGCAGCTGAAAAAAAAAAGGATAGCTGTGTGAGAACATGGCTGCCCGCTGAGGCTGATTTGTTCCCCTTCGGCCACCGGCCAGTGTAAGATTTGAAGAAAGGAACTCCGCATCGAAAGGAGCGAAGCGAGCGTGCAAAAACGAAGGCAACGGACAAAACCCGCGGCTCCAAACATCATTGCCGTCATATTAAAAACAAATAAATCAATGATCATTTGGAAGCAGAAATATTGAGGCAGGATCTTCACCCTGAAGCTGCAATGTCGTGCAAGATGCAATCATGCGAATGAGGGCACTTTGGGGATTTTATTGTCAAATGATCCTGGCCTCCAAATGAGATCATGACTGTTGTTTTCCCTCCGCTTCCATTTCTCTGCAGGTGTCCTGACGAAACAATGGCAACGGGTGGTTAAACTCGGTCACGCTGGTGCTACGCTGGTAAACATTGCGAGCGCGCCGCCGCCGCCGTTTATCAGTTTTGGCGGACAAAGACAAACAACAGGAGTGCTGTTTGGGCGGGAAAAAAACCCAAAGGGCACAAACAAGCCGACATGCAAGCCATGCCATAGAATAGCATGAACAAAAGATAAAACGACCACAGATTTAATTCGTGCGAGCACGCCAGCTTGATCGGCATGACTGCATTATTCAACAAGATGTCCTTAAACTTGTTGTTGCGATGTGTTGTCCTCTTGTTGGCCCAACAGCACTTGGTAAGTCGCAAAGCTAAACTAATCCCTGCCGGAGCTATTAGGCTTGAGACAATCTCACGCGGTTCGGGTCAAAGAGTTCATGGTCAAATGTAAGTAAGAACTGCAATTGGCTTTCTTGATGAGCAGCGGTGCAAGAACTCATTAAAAATCGAAAAGGTTTATTTGAACGTGCCGACAGCGGGGAAAAAGGTTGCCGTTGTCTCATATTGGTCATGAGCATGAAGTCCCGCTTTGCATTTCCCCCTCCCACTGATTACCGCTCTCCCCATTTGCTAATAAGGTCTGCGGTTGGCCCTCGATCAAATCCGGGCAACCAAATGCTGCCTTGCTCAGTCATCGGCCGCACCCAAAGCAGGACCGGTGATTTACGGCCCCGGCAACGGCGTCTGGGCCAAGTAAGCTGACGACCACACGCATTTACTGTCAGACCATGACATCAGCGGCAATTTGTTAGATCACCAGGAGGGTTCAATTGAATTGGCTGCAAACATTTACTATCCCAGAGGGACCATCAATGAGGAAAAAAAAGACCCTGACTAATGAGAGCATTGGCGGCTAAGTGGATGGCAGCAAAATAAAAGCAGAACTGAAAGTTCACCTTATGGCCGAAATACCAACTTGGCCCGTTGCCTGCTCCACGTTTCAGCCTTAAATACAGATCAAGGCAATGCCCTTGTCGTATCCTTGAATGTACTCAGAGGCTCGTATTTTTCTCAGCCACACGTACGGTACATAGGAACTGCCGCTTTCCTCCACTTGACTTCTTTGTACGGCGCCATTTTTGTTTTACTTCACTGTGCGGCATCTGCAGGGAAAGCAGACTCCTGCGCACGTAACACATGTCGCGCCCTCCCTTCTCCCTTTCATTCCGTTACATGACAGAGTAGCACACGGGCCGATGAGCATATGCTGTGCAATGACATGCTGTTCCCACCATGAAGGCCTGAGCTGCACGTATATCCAGAAGACACTCAAGAATGCATTTGGTCACAACGGTACATAGATAGATGACGTCTACAGCACATCACCCGAGCCCCCCACTTCCACCCCAGTGTTTGTGCAACTTTAATCAGGCAGGAGCAAGAGCTCACCTATATATACCGTCTATGCCCCTTTCATTCTGCCTTTCGATGACATTCATATCACGTCATACCGACCTGGTCTTGGAAACGGGAGGCTTATCGGTCTTGGGTGCAGTGGTGGACTTTGTGGAAGTTGCGGCGGCAGGCTTCGGAGCTGTAGCGCAGGAAAGTAGCGAAAAAGGAGGGCGGGGGGGGGGGGGGAAGAAAATGGGAAGGTGACAACAGAGGAGAGATTATGAGGACCGTGAAGAACAATGTACGGTACAGTACGCGATGTAGGTCAGACACATTTCTTTTCATCTGTCATCAGGATTAAGGGCAAATGCAGCAGTCACTCTTGCATGTCTAATTTGTGTACTGAATCCATCTCATGTGTGTGAATGCATCGCATTTTCCATTTGCAGCTCGTTCTGCAAAAAAACGTCGGCGAGATCGCCTCCCAGCCGACATATGTATTCTACATCTTGACGGCAAAAGGTTTCATTTGTGACATTTTGACCAACCTGGGGGCTTTTTCGCAGCAGTGGCCGTGCCGGTTTTAACGCCGTTCACTGTTGCGGATGTTGCCTTCTTAATTGCCGCAGCTCCCACGGCAGACTTTGCACCTTGAGTGGCAGGCGATGCCGTTTTTCTTTCAGTTACTTTGGCCGTGCTCCGAGGGGCCGGGACGCCAGCTGTTGGTTTCTTGGGTGCCGCAGAGGTCGTAGTGCTCTTTTTCTCAAGTGCAGGTGTGGTCTTCTTTGTCACGCCGTTGCTCTGGGGCTTGGACAAGCCATTGGATAGGCGGCTCGAGGTCGTGCTGGGCCGCGAGCCGGATGTGGTCTTCGTCACGTTGGTCGTGCTGGGTTTTGTTTTCTGCGCGGTCTTGTTCGCGGTCTTGGCTTTGGGGTCCCCCGAGATTTTGTTACTGGTCTTGGCAGATGGGGATTCCTTGGCCTTTTCCGGCCGCGGCGGAACCACATCTTTTGGCCCCTGGGCCACTTCCTCCACCGCTCCGCCGGGTCCCTGACTGGGCTGCTGCCCCGTAACCGGGGATAACTCATTGACTGGATTCGATTCTAAAGTTTCCATTGGCTCCAGTGCTGCTGTGATAACCCCATCTGGTTTCATCTCCTCTTCTCGAGAAGTGGTCTGTCCAGGTCTAATCGGATTGCCCAAGATCTGGACGCAGGTCTCAGTCTGCAGGGACAAACGGAAAAAAAAAAAAAAAAACAACAAAAAAGGTTAGTTTAAAAACAGCAAGACCAGACTACCTTAAAAGAAGAAGACAAAACTCTCGCGCACTCATTGCTGTAATGCGTGCTTCCTCCACTAAGAGTAGCCAATTTCTCGCCAACAATTCACACTTTATGTCAGCCAATAATGCCTGTCCACACAAAACGATGGTGTACGAAAAGTCTTTGGTGAGCGTAAGTGGGCCAATAAATCGGAGTCACACGAACAACTGAGGACAAGAGACAGGATGTGAAGCATATGAGGGCACATAAAGGGCAACCATCTGTGATAAAAGCTGTCATAGATTGTCAGCATCAATATTACGACTGTTTCTCATTTAGTTTCATGAGCCACGATACACTGGGTTGCGCTGAGAGAATGGAAGACATGAGGTGGTAAGGCAAGCAGGAAACATTTCCAAACGAGACGCGGACCTGGCTTTTTGGTCGTGAGGCAACCATGAAGGCAAAGCAGAGGCCAACTCGAGGAGGATGTTTGGCCTGGGGAGCATGGGAACAAAGAGGCGGGTGGGAAAGAGAAGCAAAGAGGAGGAAAAAAACAAAACGTGGAAAAAAAAAAGAAAGAGCTCACTACGGGATGGTATTTGTTAGCCTAACTCTAAAATCCAGACAAGTTTCGTCATCCTACTTTCCACTGACCTCAACTTGCGTGGCTCAAAGTCACTGTCCTATTTCTGGAAGGCGTCACATCATCATCCCGGTGCCTCAAACTTTTCTCTCTGTCCTTCTTCAGTCGCCCCCTTACGCATGTTCCGAACTAAATACCATGTAATTAGCAAACTAAAGTAGCAAACTTCACTTTTACAATTTGCCCCTCCCCAATATCCCGACCACCCCCGCCACCACAACAACCCTTCTCACACCATCCATTTTGGCTTTGCACAGATGGCCGGAGCAAGATGGTAAGGGGAGAGCAAAAAAAAAAAAAAAAAAAAAAAAAAAAAAAAAACACGGAATCCAAACTAGAACAAGCAAAGTCATATCCACTTCAGTCACAACCTGAGAAGTTGAGAAATGAGAAACGGATGTCTGCGAGAGAAGTTCCTTGTGCCCAACCCTTCATCGCAGGGGCATTTGCAATGCCGTCAAAGCAATAAATTTGAATGTCAAGGTTACAAATAAACTGGTGTGAGGAAATGGAACTTAAGAGAAAATAAAATATGACAGATTCTCCGAACCAAGATCGCTTGGATCGGAGCTGGAAAACAAATCCAAGCACCAGACAAAGACTCAGAACTGAAACAGTTGAAGCAAAACTAAATATTCATGAACAGGGGAAAAAAAATATGGATTTCCACACAGATTGACAAGTCACAACACTTCTGGGAGACAGATGAGCCATCGCTGCTTGTGAAAGTCGCATCAGTCACATTAAAACGTCGATGTACCTTTCAGCGTCAGTGCTGCCTTCTCAGATGTATAAATCACCCAGGCCATGGACACTCACATCCCCCGGTACCGTCATAAACGCTGCGCTGATCAAAATCCATAAATGTATAACATTCACAAGTTCATACATTAAATGTCTTGTCTTTGTCGTTGAGACAATTGAATCTAGGTTGAAAAGAATTTGCAAGTCATTCTATTCTGCTTTTACTTATGTTTTACAAAACATTCCAACTTCAATGGAATCGGGGGTTGTGCTTCGTCGAAGTCAAAGGTTCAGAAGTGAGAGAAGATGTGGTCATGATGTGCTTCCAAACGAACGACTCATTTCCTACTGTGAAAATGAACTGAGGAAGCTTGGAAACGGGCAAGCAAATCTTCCTCACAGTCTGGTTTGGAATCTCAGCTTGGCCTTCTTGATGAAACTTAATTTTTTTTTTAAAAAAGAAAAAAAGTGTTTGCGATTGGAATTTCGAGTCGTGAAAGCAGGCACCTCGGCAGCTCCTGTCAACGGTGCATTATCCTGACCACACACACACACAAGCGCGCGCGCACAAATGACCTCTACTCACGTGTAATAATATCTGGAGTGACTACTTCCTAAATTGTTTTCTTCCCTGTTTTGCCGAAAGAAAAGCAGAAGAAAGCACGGAGCAGCAAAGAATAAAAAGCCGCCTTCTCTTCTCAAGTTGGTTTATTTCTTCAGAGTTGCTTTTGCTTCTGCATTCTGCCTCTGCGCGTTGTCATTTTGCACGGGTGTGCGCGGCCTTGTCATAAATACTCGCATGGGCCTCCGAATAGCCTCCCACAATAAATTTCTGGCGAGCCTCAACGATGAGCCACAGACACGGAAACCCACCCAAATGCTTAAGAACCAAAACGAAAAATGTCGTTCGAGATTTGAATAGAACTAGAATGCAACCGTGGGAATGATCATTTATACACCTTCGGGTAGTGATGTTGGTTTTGTATTTTCAGGGCACACAAAGTTTACTTATGTTGTCAGGATTGCACTTCGTATGCCTCAACCTAAGCTAATCGTGAGCAAGGCAGCGACGCAAGGTGAGATCATCCCTTCCTAATACCTGCGCTGGGTCATCAACAAAACGTGTGCGGGTGTGTGTGTGTGTGTGTGTAGAGTGCTTCGATAGGCGCTGTCAATAACTGGAAGCCATCCAGCTCTGCATAGGGACCGAAGCTTTTCTGGATGTCTAGACACAAACACAGAGTTGTTGAATAATCAGGTCATCAGCATATTTCAACACAGAGGAATCACCTTCGCGTGAGAAAAAGAGAGCATCGCACCAATAAGGCATGTTTCACGAGAAAGACGGCATGGATGGTTGAAGCGAATTGTAAAAAGGGTGGCCAAATCTGAATGGAAATCAAGGTTGAGTTTTTGTGAGCGAGAGTTGCATCCATTTTTCTCTCCGACTGCAGCGCGTATCCGCATGTGCACTTAACCTTTGCGGGTCGGAGACTTTGCAAGTCGAGAGATGCTTCCTTGAAGGTAAAAAAGGCAAAAACAAAGCGCAAGCTCTCTCGTTGCCTCACTTTGTCCAACCGGCCATCCGCGGGCAAGTATGAATTGTGTGAGCAGAAAAATCCAACCCTGCCTTTCACAGCGCACAACTGTGTATACACACACACACAAATGCATTCTGTGGGCCGCCTTCTATCCCCGGGGCCTACTCCAAATAGTAATCAAAGAGAGGGATTGTGGGAGAAGGAAGAAGCAACGGTGGGGGTGGCGTCGGCAAGATGGCAGAAAAGATGCAAAAGAAAGTACGTGATGTTGCTGATGGGGCTTTTTGCTGATGTATTGCGGAGACTTTCTCCGCAACCCCGCTCAAATGCTGGGCGCAATGCGGTCACCCAAGTCCGGTACCTGGGACGACGTGGCTCTGCTCACAAGTGACCAAACGCATTCAAACCAATATTTAATGGGTACAGGCGATGAGTCACTTTCATAATGTGATAAGATTGGTGTGTAAAAGTTTTGAAGTTTAACCTTGCCCTATTTTTTTCATATCACACAAAAAAAAAAAAAAACACCATGTGCTGATTATTTACATCCACTGTTAAAGCTTGATTGAATTATTTCAGACAATGACCCAATGAAAAAGGTTTCACCAATAAGACGGCCAGCGGGAACATGCATGCTGAGGTCTGTTTTTGGGGGACATGGTTAATGAGCGTTTGGTGACCTCTGACCCTGTAATTGATTTGTTTTTATCTCGCGCGCAGCAAACACAAGATGCTCAGCTGCGGCGTTTCATCTCTGACCTGTTTAAAAGCATTGCCGGTCATGTGACACAACAATGGTCGCGTTTGTAAAGCAAAGCCGTAGCAAACGTCCGGGCAACAAATGCACTATTTGTGTCATTTGTGTTTTTCTTCCAGTATGTTCGTATTTGGAATTTTAAATGCTCACAATATATATATCCACATTTTACGAATCATTCAAAATGTGAATCAGAACATTTCCACCGGCGGTGTGCCCTATCACAGCGTGTATGAATTTACCGCCGTATTTTCTCGGGTGATGAAATCTTGCGAAATTGACGCCACATTTGCACTTTGTTTACATTTCAATCGGCAAAATCAATATTGCGTGCAATAAAAGCGCAGATGTTTCGAAGCACCCATCACAAATATATCGTTCAACAATTATTTACCATATTGTCAAAAAGATCATCACGGCAAATGTGCTTGAAATTTTGAAGCTTTGTTGCCCGTTCCTACTTTCCACAGTGTGTGAATAATTGACTGTTGGCTTGCTTGGAGCAAAAAACGCAAACGGGCCAATAGCCTGATTCAAGAGGCCTCATGCGTGTGTGTGTGTGTGTGTGCGTGTGTGTGTGTGTGTGCGTGTGTGTGTGTGTGTGCGTGTGTGTGTGTGTGTGCGTGTGTGTGTGTGTGTGCGTGTGTGTGTGTGTGTGCGTGTGTGTGTGTGTGTGCGTGTGTGTGTGTGTGTGCGTGTGTGTGTGTGTGTGTGTGTGTGGCTCTGTGTGTCTACACTGTCTCTTTACAAGGAAAGTCATTCCTCTTTTGGGGGGAGTGCAACAAAGTCGGATTCAGCCCCTCGCAGGGGGGCGGGTAAGGGGGTGAACGTCAGAATCGAGACGCCACATCCTGGCATGGGGCCGGAGATTGTCCATTCAATTGCCAGCCAAACACAACCGCAGACGCAGCCAACTACCTATGCCAGTTAATAAACTCATGAGGTGCACTATGCATGAAGAATTTTACAATCTCCCAAAAAACAGAGATCACAAAAATCTTTCTGTAGCCGTCGCAGGATCGGAGCAGCGAAATGGAGAGCATGAAAGATACTGAGCTGCCTGCATCAACGGAACACTTATCAGAGCATAAACATTCTCCAAACACCCCCGACTTGAGGTCAGGAAACCGCCTCTGTCCCTCACACAAATTCCAAACAAAGCAGGCTGCTCTGAATCGTCAGTAGGAGGGCTGAGCGAGCAGGGAGCTTCAGGACGTGATGTTTTTTTTTTTTTTTTTCTTCCCCCCATTACATGACATCGCAAATTGTACCTAAACTCTATATCAAAAAATTGAAATACACACTGACCTTGTACAGGCTGGCGGGTTCAGAAGAAACACGGTTGCAAGTCTACTCCCTTAATTGTCACTGCTCAAGTGATCAACATCAATCACTTTGCAGTACTTTCACAGTCTGGGAAACCGCGTCGACGTTCGATGAGCTCAAAAGCATCGCCGTAAGGACCAACAAGCGGTGTGGCGTCTGCTTGTTTACTTCAAACGTCTGAAAGAGAGCAGCAGGTTGCGTGACAGGCACCTGGTTCACAGATACGGTTGGAGTGATTAGAAAGGCTGGCGCTAATCCTCAGGACTCACTGGACTTTCACTCCAAGATTTTGAAATGCCCTTGAATGCTTTCAATAAGGTGAGATGTAGCGCGGGGGCTAACCGCACGATGTCAAATCGACACATTTGGAAGATGTTCGTACAAATATCTGGCAAATGTCGGTCATGATGTTTAGCTCGTATATTTTGAATGGAGACTCCTGGATAAACAATCGAACCTGTCAAACGCAGTTATTCCCTTGTTGCCGTCGCACTGAGAGAGATGTGCGCCCCTCTGGGGACGGGCAGATTAACACGCGACAGAGCGTGTTAACCCTGGACAAAGAGAGATGCTGATCTTGTACAGTCGCCCTCAACTATCCTCAAAACAGTGCCCGGGCAAAAGGGGTAGAGTGCTGATGGGGACACGGATGACGTAAGGAGGGACATGTTTGATAGTTGTGAACTCGCCGTGGCCCAGAAATGACACAATGCTGCGGTGACCGAGAGGTTCACGCTCAGTCAGCCGCTCAACAAAAGAGGGTCGAGACAGTGCCCGGCGACCGGCCACAAACGAGGCTCCGGCCACGTTGGCCCTGATTACAGCCTGGCCGGTGCCCACCGCCTACGGAGACTTTCAGGGACAGTTCAGAGCTTAAGGGTGTAGATATTGAATCCCACGAGACAACGCGGGGGGAGTCTGGCCAGCAGCTCCGTAGACAAAGTGCATTAGTGGGCAGGTGTTCCTCTGATGCTTTTAACCTTTCCCCTTGGAGATAAGGAAAATGGCAGGGACTCTTTTTAAGTCGGCGTATTGTATCGAGAGGATCCAGCAACAGGCAAACTCGGGCTAATTTGTAACTTGAAGAGCTTGTGGATCATCTCCATAATGGGCTGTCTGCCCACAAACAGGCTCCTCTCTGGGGGTAAATGAGATCAGCCAAGCCCGGGACCAGCTGGTGGCTTGGATCAGTGACACAAGATAGTACAGAATCTCTCTCACATACACACACACACACACGCACGGCGGAAGAGGTAAGACCAAAGCATCTGGACAGGGTGGCAGAAATGCACCCATGAGGCTTCGGCACTCTGCCTTTTTGCACAGCACACGGACGCAGACCGGCCAAGTCTAAGTGGAACAACTGTGTCCATAAGAGGATTATGACCCGTTTGAAATGGAACAAGGCACGTTCCAGATGGAATCTGATCCTTTGCGGGGAAGACAAACAATGTGAAGGGTTGACCAGACACACCGCGCTCACGAGGACAACTCTCGATGAAGCGACGGCGTGGCGGCGCTCAGCTTGCAACGATTCATCTCAAAACTGCTCTTGGACAGAGCCGCATGTTGTTGGAAGATAGATACTTGGCAGTCAGGTCAAAAACATCTGACATAAACATGACACAATAGCTGCTCGACCAGACCGGTAACTTGACAACGGAGATAGCAATATGCACAAGAGGCAGTGAAACATAATCAACTGACAAACTTCCTGCAACTCTTGTGGCATTATTTTCATTTATGTATTCATAGCGGCCAACTGTGACAGAAAAAAAGGATTGTTGACCGTCGTCCACCCACTAAAGGCATTCAGAATGTCCAAACGGAGCAAATTATTGCAGCTGCCGGCCAACGTGCCAATTGCCGGCCCTCGCAACTGTGACAACAGCAACCAAATCTGTGACCGCAAAGACAAGATGCCGATTTTCATCTCGGCATTATCGTCAGTGTACGGCGCCCGTTTTTGCATCGCCTTCGACGGTTTGGTGTAGACCGTCAGAAACAGTTTGGGAGAATCAGACATTTCCACCCATTGAATCATCGTCATGCTGAAGGTCCCGCTTTGTTGCTGTTGTTGTTACCGTGGCTAAACTCGGAGCTCCACATAACATTTGATGACGCCGAGGGCAGGGATCACGAGTTCTGGATGAAAAAAGACGGACGACCAGAGGCACAGGCTTGCCCTTGTCACAATTGAGATTTAGAGAACTGTGGGGGGATTTCATTGTGAGTCACACATTCACCCAACACCAGTCCTGAGGCTAAGGGCGGGCTGACTCACAAGTCTATTAATGCGACAAAGAACAAACATCTCCCCTCTTGGCTTGAGAGGCCAGCTGGGAGCAAAACAGATCATTAAATTCCAAATGCCCAGAAAACACAAGCTTCTATATGAAAATGACAAGATTGTTACCGAGCTAATAATAATGGTTCATGTCGTTTCCATGTCGTTTTTTGGGACGTCATTAATTTTTTTATTTGCCCTTTATCATCTCCACACATTTGTCAAGACACCTCACTAACCTCCGTAAAATTTTTCAATGATTTATTTAAAACCGGCTTAAGAGATTTTCATGAAACTTTGGAGAAAGATATATGGCCCGAGCCGAGGAAAACCCCTCTTCTATTTTTAGTACGATCCTTCCCAGATGAATTTGCAGCGACATGAATTTCGGTGTACATTTTGCTGCCTATGCAAATGAAGACTGTTCAACTGCACTGAAGGCCTGCGCCCATTTGAGTGTCACCGGGGGCTTTTTTTTCCCTCCTTACAATGGGCGGCAGCGACATTACAGACTCTTTCAACCCTGTTACAATTCTTCTCAACAGGGTGCACATCTGCGAGTGACAAGGGAAGCAGCGATACAGGCTGGTAAACATACACCAGCGATACCGGAGGCGCTATACAATTACTACAAGAAAGTCTGAACTACGAGAAGGAAGTCATAATATCCTTGGCCAAAAATATTGTCATTTTACGAGATACAAATTGAATTTGTTCTGTAACAGATCAGTTGAATCTCAAATCACGGCAGGAAAATTCACAAATGCCAGGTCTCTAGGACACCGCTGCACTTTTTTAAAAAATCCAATATGATCTTTTTTTAACCCATTTATCCCCCAAACCAAATTAAAGAACCTAATAAAAATAAAGCATGGCTTTTAACGGCGTCTTCATTCAATTCCATGTGATTGCATTAGGCTGTGGTCTGTGTGCCCTGCCTTCTCCGTCCTCCATTTCCCCGCCACACCACCAACCAACACTGTGAGTCAGCCGTTCTCTCATCCACGGGGGCGGACAAGCTGATGTCGTTGCCCACCTCGAATTTAAGAGTCATGGAGTGTCTCCAAGCCCTTTTGTGGCTGAACCTTGAAAGTGCTTTTATTAGTCAAGCTAAGATGCCTTTTACTTTGATTGATGCCAATACCTCAACATCACACCGACACCCATCCACGCCCACTGTGGCCACTAAACGTCTCCATCACCTCAAAGGGAAAATGACAGCGTTATGGAATGGTCAGTAATATTTTCTGATGATTGCATGTTGTGAAATGCTTTTGGTAAGTAATTCTGTGGCAACCGGCAGCCATCTCTCCGCCCCATTGTTCAGGTTGGGGGGTGTAATGTCCCTTGTTGCGCTCATTCACCAAGTGAGTGTGTTAAGGAGCAGCTCTCAGCCCCGACAGCCATAACTCCTCGAGCACAATAGCTGATCACTTTTAGGGGTGACATTAATCAGCCCTGATAACATGCCAGCCTAATAAGTCTTAGCCACCCCCTTCTTGGATACATTTCAGCCTTTCACAAGTCTCTCCTAGGTGAATTACTAATCGACCGGACTTCAAGTGCCCTTGAGTGAATACGTGTAAAAAGTTGATTTTTATTTTTGCCGCAAAAAAAAAAAAAAACCAGGATTGTCATTTCTCTCCCGAAATGACACACGAACATTTCTCCGCACTCACCCAGCACCCCCAGAACAATGGGCATCCGCCACATGGGGAAAGGGGGGATGAGGAAGCGGGGGTGAATGGAAAAACACCGATAAATCTTGATGTGGAATGTAAGAGCACACAACCTAAAAAAAAAGGCTGATCATTTGACAAAACTAGACCGTACATCTGATTTGGCATACTTTCACCGGTGCGGTGGCGGGCTATTCCAGCTTCCACGCTGCCTGCCACCGCCCCATCGACCGGTTTCCATCCATTCTGAATGTAAACTAGCCTATGAATACCATATAGACACACGTAGGAATATATATTCACCAAGAAAAATACTGACATTTTCATAATGACATGTCATGATTCAGACAAACTGTTGAGTAGCGGGGGTTTTACCGACGGCAAAGACAATAACGCGAGACGCCCGTTCTAGAACCGAAAGGGCGTTAAAGTAAGCAATATTTGGTTAAAATCGGCGTCAGTTAGCCAAACGAGAAACGAATCTACGCTAGTGTGTTTCCTCAATTTCAATGTCGCGCTTACCGGTCAGTGCAGCGGTGAGCTAGCAAAATCCTCCCCAGCTACGCCCTGTGTTAGCCGGTTCGCGCCGACTGGGTCCTCGATCGCGCCGGGTACTCAAAGAGAAAGTGAAGATGAGGCGCAGACGGGGAAAAGGGAAGACTCGTAGAGCTGAGGCTAAGACTTCAAGTCGAGCTTCTGAATAAGAAACTTCTTGGTCTCAAGCGCCGTTTTTCTCCCAAGTGATGCTTGTGTTCGCTGGGAGGAAGAAAGACACCGAGTGACGCTTCATTAAGCGCGCGCACACACACACACACACGCCCTCACGCGCGCAGACCGCTGAAGCGATGGATGGACAGGCGAAGGCGAGGAATGCCTTCAAATGCTCCTTCAACGTCGGAAAACTGACAATATGCCAAACGACGACAGAAAGACGCGGCTTGTTCTAGCCATAGATTAAACATTTGTTTTCTTTACCACCAGCTGCACCCATTTATTGTTGTCTTACATATACACATTGAAAGGCACGGTGGAATTATGCTCCATGTTCTCAGCATACAGTCTGACGAAAGTGTTTTTTTTTTGTTGTTGTTGTTGTTAGTTTATTTTTAGTAACAATTAGCATCGAGTCAATCAAAATGGCACACGCTTGTTTGATTTCACAATTGAAAACATCTGACGTAAAGGATTGCAACAAGATAATGATAAACCACCGAGAAGAGGATATTACTAATAACCCCTGAAGGCATCATTCAACAGACAGCGCGCCACGCCGAAATTGAAAGGCGTGAATAGCGAATAGCAGGGGGACAACTGCTTTTTCTAAACACAGCCAATCACCTCCCTATGTGAGGGATTATTCAAATTGCAGATGATGTCATCTCTTGCAAGTCACCCTATCTCTTGCCAGAGTTTCTCCTAGTTTGTTCCCTCCTTCTAGGCCCCCCAAGATCCCCTTTCTCTCCAAAACCTTTTCTTCCTTTCTTCACGGATGAATGCGTGCACACACCCACACACGCACGCCCGCATACACAGAGACTAGAGACAGACACCCACGCCTTTCACGCTGCATTGCAAGATTGTTATCTGTCTATAAACCTGTTTGTGGCATGTATTATATTTCGAGTCTTCCTTGTCTTTTTTTCCATATAAGGAATGGGAATGATAAAACTAGTCAAATCTTCATATGTAAGTGCAATAAATCCATTTTGTGTGGAAATTGAAGGTCATGTGGCATCCCTGACTCTAAACGTGGAACACCTGTTGACCCAATCAGCCAAAGCAAACAGAGCGTATTAGTGGTGGCAAAATCAATAGAAGGAGCACCGGTGTTTTGGTCAACTTGTGTACAATTAGACACTGGCGGGCATTGTTTCACAGCTTACACGCTTTTGTTTCTGCGCCGCGCTCTTCATCAAAATGGGGCTTTTCATCATAGACTGGGCGGGCATGCCGCCTTGTCTGACTGTCTGCTGTGCTGTTGCTCAGCTCCCAGCAGCCGCCTCGCCAGTCGGGATGAGCCAGGCTTTTGTGTCCTGCTCTACTCTGGATGGGCGGCCATGCTTTTGTGTCCAGAATGAGAAGTTTTACTCTGAAGCTGTACCAAACTATGACATTTTGAGATGATGAACAGGATGTGCAGAGGTGCAAGAATACGGTCCATCATCACATGTTACAAAGAAGGCACGCTCAGTTACCAAAGTACAGCAGAAACAGGTGTACCGCCTCATCTACACATCAATTTGCAATTCTATTCTTTTCAGCGTGATCAACTGCGAAGGTTCCACCGTGTGAACCTAATTTCTGACACTTTGTTGGGCTCTCTGAAAGTCCTTTATAGATGTTCATGCAATGTTTTCTTTCGGTTCTTCCGCTGTCCGTGGACCTCAGACTACTCTCCATCATGTTTGAGGCTAGTGCATCATAGCAATTAGAAAGCTTTTCTCTTTTTGTTTGCTGGGCATTATCTGCTGTTTAACTACGCTTAACTTGCTTTTAACAATGAACGGATCCATTAAAATTACATCCTATGGCTTTTTGGAAAACAGCTGTTCATATCGTACACGGGAAGGTGTGCTTATATAGAGGCAAAGGAAACCGTGAAGAGGGTGGGGATTCCGGGAAGCTCCGAATGTACGGTGGCTTGATGCTGATGGATGTATTGGCATGGTCCACAGAAGCCCAACAAAGAGAGGAAGGTGTTTTTTTTTGTTGCTTTTTTTCCTCACAAGCAGTTGCATGCAGCAATCGAGACAGGAAAAGGCAGGGCTGTGTACCCGACTCCATAACTTCCGTGTCATTTATCTCATTGTTTTGACCTGACCATGTACTGTCCAGCTGCTGAACAACAACACAAAGAAGCTATCTGGCAAACGCACGGGGGCGGGAGATGTTATTTACAAGGATTGTCATATTGCTTCCTGCACTAGAGCACCTGCAGGCTTAAAGAAAACAGCAAAAAGGCCTCATCTCCACCGCCAAAGTCGACCAAACCACAGAAGGAAACAGCTCACAAGTCATTCGACACAGCCTTCACATCACACACGGACGTCTTTTGTCCAAGCTACTCCCAAGTCGCTCTCTTTTCAAGTGTTCTTATTTGGCAAGGTGATGCCTTTATCGCTATGTGATGAGTATCATGCTCCAAATGGAATGCGTGATAGAAAATAGGCAGATTAGTGTACACAGCTGCAGCTCACATCATCAACTCCCCAAAGAGTAAACGGTGCCGGCGCGGCAAATCCTTCAACGTGATGACGGGCAAAATGTTTATATGTACATACACAAGAGTCGATACACCTAAACATCTTGTCATGTTCCAATACAAAACGGCATCAAAAACATTCTGCCACAACAAAGATAAACCTGCCTTGCAAGTCTTTGTCGAGGCATCGTACTAGAATTAATGCAATGCTCCTTTCGTACCTTTTTCAATTTTGTATGAACCGGGATTTTTAAATTGCCCTCCCTAATAGGAGACCACTAAATGTTCTTCTGCTGCACGGTGCAGATGCTTTATATCGAACCAGCTATCATAATTAAGTACAGTACAATGCATCGCCTCTCTTGAATCTGTGTCTCGGTTGCCATAGTAGCAGTTAACACGGTGGGAGAGGGAGTCAACAGAAGCCCTGCCCAACTGAGGCTTTCCTCTTAGGGACATTGAGGCTGTCCAGAGCAGGTTTGCCGGTTCCTGTCTACCTGATTATAAGTGCTTCATCTTTTAAATAATGCATGCGTGTACTGAGGAAGTTGAACAGCCATGCCACTGGGCTGCACTCTAAGGAGTGAGTGCGCGCATACTGTATCGCCTGTAACTCTTTCATTTTCATCCATTGCTGATTTGCATCTTCGCTGAGATGCATTTTCTTTGGCTGCAGCACAACCTCAGGGTAGTTGATGATAATGGCATAGGAAAACAGTCACGTAGATGAAGAGCAAATGGTATGTTCGTAGAGTACATAGACATCTAATGCAAGCATTTGTGTTTTACACGGGCAGGAACCTCTTCTTAATGTCTCATCCCTTTAGTTTCTCGATCTATACATGTCTAATGACTGGCTGGCTGGCTGGCTGCTCCAGACTGAGCCAACATTCTCCCTCTAGTGGTGGCAGACACTGACAAAACACCCGCCCATCCAAAAGGGCCTGGTAGCCATGAAGGAGGGTGGCAGTGTAGCTCAAGCACAAAATCTGCCCGACCTCTTCGCTTGGGTACCAAGATCAATATATGAAAATATACAAAAATGCAATCACTTAAAGTACCTATCGGGCACCACCCCCGCCTCACTTATTCAAACACGGAACACGAACTGGCCGCATGCCACAAATAATTTCCAGGTTCTCACTTTTCCCGATGAGACATATGAAAACATGCAGTGTGAAGAATCCATTTTCATGACATCCGAGACAGACACAATTGCAACCTTGGTCCAACACAGAAGTGATCCAATGACTTTTTTTTTTTAAACGACTGACACTAAGTCAGCTGTCGAAAATACCACGCATAGAAACAAGAATTTGACACCGTGAGACTATTTCGTATTCTTTTTTCCAACACCTTTTCAGTGTTGTTAGTTTAATTCCCCGATGTGTGAAAGCCAACATCTTTAAAAAGAATATTCAATAAATATAACAATGCCACAGGTGAACTGTACAAAGGCCTTCTTCACAGAGGCTGACAAACTCGGAGTTCAGACACACCTGACTACACGTTTCACCAGTAAATTCAAGTACCATTAAATTAAGTTCCTCGAGGTGTCAGAAGGCATGCATTACGAACTGTAAACAATGCTTTATAACCCAGTGCGCTCCTTCGTTCCTATGAGAGGCATTTTAGCATGTTAAACTGTCAATCAGTCATCCTAAAGTACAAATGAGTGCACATAAAGTTTAACAACTCCCAAAGTGGTGTGACTCGAAAGGGAATCAAGAGAGAGGAAAATCATTCAATTCCCTTTTACCTTCTCAGTAGAGACCGACTGTATTCATTGAACGGTGCCCTTCCCGCAGAAAACTGGAATGACATTAGCATTTCATTAAGCCATCTTCAAAAATTGTTCCCTTTTACAACAGCTTAAGAACGACCGATTTGTACATATGCCCTCGAATCAGATAAAATGAGCAATTACCCTTTCTCAAACGGCTACAATGTCAGCCTACAGACATTGCAGGACTCCGATACTTAAAAAAAAATAACATAAACCTAGTCTAAAATGTTAGGCTTTGGCAAAATGTCCATTGGAAGGGAAAAAAAAAATCACACAGCTGTCTTTTCCTGCAGGAGATTCACCACCTGCATACAGCACTTTGAAAGCAAATAGTCAGAAATGCTCTGTGCACTGGTGTGCAGTCTTTTTACAGTTCATACATATTGATGAATCAGCGGCTGGCTGCAGGGCTCGTCCTTGCGCGTGCAGCCATCAAAAATTTTCAGCCAAGGGAGAACAAGAACAAAGGGGGTGGGGGGGGATGGAAGAGAGCATGAAGCAACAGCCTTGACTGTAAATGTTACAGAAGGCATTTAACATACAGTACACTATGACAGTATATTCTACGTGCGCGTACATATAAAAACATTTAGACCACACCAAAAACAAAATCTTAAAACTAGTGTAAAACGAAAGATAAAATGAAAGCTTTAGTTCATGTAATCGGTGATGAAAAGCTAGCTTGCAAGGAATTATTCACACAGAACAAAAGCCAAATTGGCCCGAGTTTTTGTGTTTGAAAGTGCTACTGTAACAGCGTGATTTGGAGTGCGACATCTGAACATCAGCGGGACAGAGGACAGAGTGGTTCAAGGTCAGTCAGTTCGATGCACAGGCATCATCATCATCATCATCCTCCTCCCTGCTGGAAATTCTGCAAAAAGGAGTGCGGCTCAAGTCAGGTGGAAATGCGACCAAGATATGGTGCAGTTCACTGAATCAACAATTGGCCCTGAATCGAACCTACTTCTCAAATCAGATATCTCGACACACACATTCCGATTAAAAACCTAAGTCTCCCCTCCCTCTCCTTACCAATCACAGCAGCAGAAAAAGGAGCACGACGGCCCCTCGGGACCGCGGAATTTGCCAGAGCTGGGCGTGTCTGTGCACTCAGCGATGAATGCGTGAAGATCGCTGACCCGTACCTGCTCCTGCGTTTGGGCCTGTTGAAAATAACAAAGGAAATCCTCTTTCAGCTGCCACATTTGATCTTTTATTTGCGTCGCCTAAAACGTTTTGTCTCGGGAATTGATTCGACTGTACCATAATGGTGTCGTAGGCTCCGGTGATGAGCGCGATGAAGAGTGACAACACCATGTAGATGAAGAGGGAGATGAAGGTGTAAAGGTAGACCTGGCTGAAGATCCACACCAGCGTGCCGGTCTGCTCCATCTCAGCGAAGGTCACAAACATGTCATCTCCGTTGATCAGAGAAAAGAGGCACTCTGATACCATGGGCAAGGAGCGAAACTGCTCATGTGGAGGGACGTTCATAAAAAGGAAGCAACACATGCACTCTTACGCTTAAGTTACGAATATTCTGACATGTGCTTCAAGCCAGAATGTTTCACAGCGTGTGTGCGTGTAGCGTACACTACCTTGGTATGATACGGCCCCAGGACAATCCATCCGCAGAAGCAGTATCCCAAATATATGGCCGCCGCACAGCAACAGAAGCGGATGACATTAGGGAAGGCGGCTCTGAGCGTCACAATCAAGATCTGGGTGAAAAACAGAAAGGGAGGAAACGATTCCTATTCCTTCAGGAGAGAGATACGGCAAAAGTGTGGAGAGTGAAGTTTTGGGTGTGAACGTGTCTTACGTTGTATTTCTGAAAGAAGCTGAGATAACGAATGACTCCCACCCATACCAACAGTGTGGACGTTCCCAGCAGGATTGCACACGAATCATATGATGACAAATTCTTCATCAAAATGGAGACATAAGTCATAATCAAGACGACTAAGAAGTCACAATATCAAGAAAAGGAGCGCTAATGTCTTACCTTGGATTCAATTCCAATCTTGATGAAGCTGCCGATGATGGTAAACATGTCGCTGACAATGAGCAGAATATACCAGCCGTTGACGAACTCCAGTCTGTCTCCCCAGCTTACGCCGCGGCCAAGTCTGGTCTGGAAAAACTGTGCGTATTCCTAAGAAGATAATGTTTGTATAGTAGACACCGTGACTTGCATTAGCGTTCATAAATCTGAGCATTTCAACATTTGGTCGAATTACAACCTGAAACGTTTTCACATGATAGACCAAAACAAAGTGGCTCATAATTATGAAGTGGAAAAAAAAAAAAACGAGACATGGCTGGTTCACTTTTGTTGTTTTTCCAGGGTAAACGCAGTGCTGTTATTCTACCTCTGAGGTTTGCTTGTTCAGGGATATCACTGAACAAACACCACGCACCAAGAAACCGCATCTGTTTGTCTCACAGACGTATTTGTCAGTTCAAATCTATAAACTCGCCTTCTCAACTCAACTGCTGCCAAAGATGAAAGAAGCTTGATTTCACAACGGCACCAATTTGCCAGTCCAATTTCAAATCGCTGCCCATCTTAAGACCCACGTTCGAGACCGGTGGCCTAAAATAAAGAGCCAGCCTCGTCTTGACTCAATTAACACAAAACGCACAGTTGATGAAGAGAATGAGAAGCCTGCGATGCATCATTTTCTCTACATTGACGAAGGTGCATCGAGTCTTGACAGAAGTCACCGAAAATGATGTGCCTACGTCCTCAACAGCGTCCTTGACCTGTTTGAATGCCTCCAAAATATAATGAGACAAAGAGACGCAAAGGTTTGCGTTTTGGTTTCTTACGTGTTGCAGAAGGACACCTCTGAGGATGGAGCGGCCACACAGAAGCAGAGAAAGCAGACAAACCAGGGCAACCAACACGTCAAAGAACTCTCGGGCGTAGTTCTCCGCTGACAGGTGCCGAGAGAAATAATGTGGGGTCAAAGGACTTTTGAGGAGGTGCAAGTAGATACCTTCTACTTGCAGGTACTCACCATGTCCGGAAACGTTGGGGTCCTTACATTCCTTTATGGAGGCCTGGTTCTGTAAACTGATCTTCATTTTGCCACTGTGAGCTCTGTTATCCATGAGAATCTAGGAGCGCATTCAAAAACCCTCCGATAAATACAGTACAAAAATAATACTAAACTCTCTATGTTTCAGTGTTACCACAGCCAAACTGTGGTAACACTGAAATACAATACAATACTGTATCACATATTGAACACATGAAACAGAAATAGGACTCCGCTGTATCCTACCCGGGATTTCGTGATCAAATTTTTCATTCGGTTGAGATCATGAATTTCACTCAAATGCAAAAGTTAGCATGAACATTTCTTTCAAAACGCTGTGAGTCTGTGAGAAAGGCGCACATTTGGTTCAAAAGAAGATGAATAGCTCACCGTGATAGCAAAGGTGTAGCAGTTTGGTATCTCATTATTGATGATGGTCTGAATGTTGATGGCCTTCAGCTGGAAGTCAATCGTTACATTGATCAGCCTGGAGGCAAACAAACACATCATCATTGAGATGCGAACGTCAATTACAAGCCGTGGTGACCTTTGATTGCGGCAGTTAGAATCTAACTTGTAAAAATTGAGAGTGAAGTTTTTGTAGTCACTCTTTCCAGGAGCGGAACCGAAGCTCGGCGGATCGAGTCCGATGCAGTCTGGAAAAAAGAAGAAGAAAGCAGACGTAGAGGAACAAAATATCATCGCATGCGGAAATACTCCGACCAGTCTCTGTTTGCACATCACGTGACACATAATATCCACTTTTCCACTTCCTTCAAAGCATAGAGTACTGACTGAGCATTTTGAGTGCACTTCACGGGATTTGTCAGGCAATCACAAGCTCTTTGTGTGCCGGATGAGCAGCAGGATTTAATAGTGCATGAAATATTTACTCAAAGGTGGACTGGCAACACCAAACCAAAAACATTCGTATTATTTTTGGTCATGTTGCCGGACGCTGAAAAATGGATGGCGGACCGCAAATGGCCCCGGGCACACACCACATGTTGAAGTGTAAAATAAGAACAATGACGGCCATCCTACCGGTGACAACATGAGGATCGATGTCAAAAGTGTCATTGACAGGGACGATGGTGCCCCTCTTGTAGTGCCTCTGGCAGAGTGAGAGTGCACTTCCGTTGAAGCCGACGCCTTGCACGTAGGCATATTTTCCCAGTGAGATCTGAGGCAGCGCTAGATACTAAGGGGCAGGGAAATGACAAGTGTCATGCGAGGACCATGTCACGGAAATGCTCCATGTTCATTTTAAACCCTTCAAACAGGTCACTAGATATTCGTCTCGATTGTCTAATTAAAAAAAAAGGATGCAATCAGAACTTCACGTTTTTTTGGCGGGGAGGGGGTGGCTTTTAGATCGAGGGGCCAAAGCAGTGCAGTGACTAACTTGATACGCTACCTGCTCAATGGCGAAGTCGATGTGCCTGTGCAGCTCTTTCTGCATGTGAACAGCCTGAGGAGTGTCGTCCTGGTAATCTTTCAGGAAGAGATGTTTGAATGCCGCCGTGTTTTCCTCTTTAAATGTCACAACCATCTGGTTGCTCAGCCCAAACAGCACCAACTGAGAGACAGGGAGAGAACAGGAAAATACTGAACAAAGGGTGAAACTACGGTGCAGAATATGGACCGATACTGCAGAGTTCAATCTGTTCTAATCCAGGGGTGTCCAAACTACGCCCCGGGGGCCATTTGCGGGCCAGCGTCCATTTTTTCAGCGGCCCACGACATGACCAAAAAAATAATAACAATAATTACATATGAGAGTAATCATCCGGTGGTCACTTCCCGGGGTTTGAAGGAAGGATTTAAATTTTTTTTTTTGTAAGTGTAAAGGCTTGCTTTACCTGCACTGTGACAATGATGATTTTGAGCAGTTGTAGGCCCAACTTGAATGGTTTGCGTCCCTTGGCATGATACTTGTCACAAGGGCTCATGAAGAAATATTTGAGCTTCCTCCTCAGGGCTTCTTCCTCTTCCTCTTCCAGTTGCTGGTGGAGATCAGAGCTCATTGGTGTATCCCCAAGAAGGTCCTGAGACCCATAACTGAGACCCATGGATGAGAGGAGCCTGTCCTTCTCTGTGACAGAAGAGAAAGAAATTACATCCTTACTCTTACCAGGATACTGAGCAATGTATATAGTCCTTAAGAGATGACATTTCAAACGAAATTTATGAGGGAAGGTTTCTGTTGTGCTTTGTTTATAGTTTCATTACTCTGCTGTTACTCAATTGGGATTAATGTTCTGGATCCTGTGCCAGTATTGTGCTGTAATAATGGGTCATTAGTTTGGCTTGTCATGTCAGTCACGCCTCTTGAAAGTTGTCAGTTCAGTTTCTGTCAATGTTCTGGTTTGTTCCTGCTTCCCTATTGAGTTTCTGCAGACACTAATCCAATAGAAACCTTTACTGACTGGGTGCCATGCCAATGTTTTTTTTAACACATTTTTGGGTGATCATCAAATCATCTAGGTCTCCTTACGTGAACAAAAACACGTATGTTCCTTAATACTCTCGATGAGTGTTTTGCAAGAGAAACATCTCGATTCATGATCCTTTTGCACCCGTTACCGAATAAATTGGAAAAAAAAGAATGGATTTACCCGTGCAAATAATGACTTACTCAGTAAACAGCAACAAACAATTGAAATATAGTCCCATTTCAGAAGGCATCGATATCCTGAATTGAATGTAAGCAGAAGAGGACGGTGTTTTCAACCAACCTGTAGAAAGCTCCTGAGCGCAAGAGAAACATCTCGATTCATGATCCTTTTGCACCCCACGTTACCGAATAAATTGGGAAAAAAATGAATGGATTTACCCTCGCAAATAATGACTTGCTCAATAAATAGCAACAAACGTGAAATATAGTCTCATTTCAGAAGATATCGCGATCCCGAATTGAACGCAAGCAGAAGAGGACGTTGTTTTCAACCAACCTGTAGAAAGCTCCTGAGCGAACCCCGGTGATGCCATGGGGATGTTTGGACGGTCACACGGGAAACAAAAGGCTGGATATTACCTCAGTAATTTCGCCAGGCGGGTAATCGTTTTCATATTTTCTATTTTTCGGGTCTCGTGTAAACCAAATAGAGACATTATGCGGCTCCGCGTCGCAGTGTACGGACAAGAGGTAGAGTGGGAAACATCGCTAAACTTCCTGTATGCCACGTGACTTTGTCATGTGACTGCTGTCAACAGCACCGGCAATGACGCAATGCGTACGTTGACTCATTCCCACACAAAGGAAAATATTTAACATCCAGTATTTTTATCAGGTTTGTTATGGAGATCTCCAAACAATGACCATATGCAGAGTGTCTTATGAAATAGTTACCCGACATGCTTTAAACACGTTTCTCGGTTCAGATGGCTTATAGACTTGAAAGGATGAAGATCTGAGCTGCTTGCTGTGTAAATAGTTAGTTTTGTGTGGAGAGTAAAGAGACATGACGTGCCCTCGTCTCATCTGCTCATTTAGGAAACCGCATTTCCACAAAACATGTTCTGTTGATATATTCTAAGGAGCATATTTGCCATCAAAATTGAATGATTTGAAGGGGAGGAGCTCGATGACAACACGTGTCTTTACTTTCTTCAGGAGGAATATTGTATTTAATTGTGTGAGCCATAAGCGATTGGACAGGGCCTTCATCAAGTACTGTAAAGTAAATAAGCTGCTTCAGTGAAATACCTCACATATTTACATTATATTGACAAATACAACACAGTGTTGAAACAATAAAAACAAGAGTAATCGTATATGGTACAAACTGGAATTTCCCTCATTAAGTGTTACTTCATAATGTACAATAGGACATGATGAAGACTTAGAAAACGTAACTAAAATGGATATTTTCTGTTTATGATGCTGTCCGTGCATCCCGCAAGCCATTTTCACGTTGCACTCTGTCTAAATTAGCGAATCAGGCAAAACCGTACAGCCAGGGTTTATTAGCCTGTGCCTCTCAGGCAAAACTTGTCGAAACAGGACATGCGGCGTCATTCCATACCCATGTCGTATACATCAGTGTGACAACAGCAGGTGCTTCCAACAAAGACCTGTACACAATGAGTTGTCGGCAGTAAACTTCAAGCTCTGGTGGCTAGCGAGCAGTGTTACACCTCAGTTACGCCTCCGATACAAAAACTCTGGTCCGCTTCAACTCCCGTCCCACATTGGCACCTCAACACATAGGACGGTGAGCTGGGAAAATGTCATCTTAGATGGCCAGTGGGAAACAGGCTACACAGTCTCTTGTACAGTCACAAAGTAAAACAGGAATTGATCTTGCAGTTACTCCGAAAGAAAGAAGTAACTGTAAGACTGTGCAGAATTCAGTTGTTTGTTGTTATCCTGCATCGACAAACATAAACACCCTCCCTAGTTTCTCCTGCTGTCCTTATCTGCCATCTAAAGCCTTGTCCCGGACTATGACCGACTCATTAAACTTGATCATGAGCGTGGTGCCCTTGTGCCAGTGGGCAGTGACCTTGGCGGGGAAGCCACTGTGTGTGAGGATGGCCTCCACGATGCCAGCAGTGAAGGCAGCACAGTTTAAGCTACTGTTCTCTTTGGGCACAGAGATGTAAGCATTGATGAGGGGCTCCTTTTCGATGATGTAGTAAGTCTTGTCATCATCATTGGCCTGCTCCAATTTGTCAGCCTCTTTCCCAAACAAAGACTTCCATACATTCACCTACAGTGAAAAGAGTGTACAAACAACGTCAATGCATTTTAAATGCACTCTCAAAAACATAATTCTGATTATTGTTTTAAGGAGTAGAAGTCAGCAGAAAAATATTCAAGTGACGCACAGACAGCAGAAAAATCGACTTAATATTGCACTAGGTTGCTTCCCATCACGTAAGTCTTGGACTTGTTGAAGGTACAAACCTTGATGAAGAGCAGCATGTTGAGCACTTTTGTTTCTCTCTTCCCATTCTTCTCCCTCAGCACCAGCACATCCAGCATGCCAGCTCCAACACTCTGGCCCATGTCAGCCAGACGTGTCTGGAGTTCCGAAACCGAGTACACTCGACTCTGGCAGTACTGGACCATCTCTGAGAACAGTAATGCAAACGCACTGACGCTGACTTCAGTCTTGGGTCTAGTCAAGGGCCGCTCCAAGATGGTGGATTTTCCTCGAGTGAACCGGGTGTCCATTTTCTGAGAACCACAGATTTATGGTTTGGATTATGATATGAGGATTTGTAATGTATAAATGGAAAATGCTATTTTAAACGCATACACTGCTCAGAAAAAAAAAGTCAGGTGAAATTTGAAGATGAACATTTATAGGTGAACTTAATTTGATCTCTACACTCTTGAATACACGTTTACAATTGTTCAGTGGTTGAGAGAGAGTTTTTACCCTGCAATTTTCAAAGACATCCACTTCTATACTGCTCCGCGATCCCGTTTGAAGCCTCACAATGGTGAGATGCTTTGGATCATTTTCAGGTTTCATTTTTTTAGAGGTCACATTCAGTTTACTTGTAAAAGCTATGCTCTGAATCATAGGTTCATCCTGGAAGTTCACCACGAATATAAATATCCTTTGTTTTTGTTTTGTAAACATTGCATGTCTAATAACAATTAGACCGGGAAAACATGTTTTTATTTAGGCGCAACTTCTTTTGCGCTCCTCACGTATAGATTATACACAAATTTATTCTTGGGGAAATCTTTATAGCTAACTCATTACAATATTAGAACGTATGAAAGGCGCAACTTCTTTTGCGCTCCTCACGTATAGATTCTACACAAATGTATTCTTGGGGAAATCTTTGTTCCTTCAACTCATTACAATATTAGAACGTTTGACCGCTACTGTTACGAACTACCATAATGAGAAATTAAAATTTCGCTTGGGGTAAAAAGTCGATTATTTGAGAATTCTTTCGCGTGATAATAATGTCCATCCCACTGCGGCTTTACTTAGATTTTCCATAACAGCATATTAGCTGCGTTTTATACATATAGTTGTATTGCAATAATAGCTCAGTAGAACGCTGCCGGCTGGATGTTAGCTAACTAGCTAGCGTTCGTTTCCTAAGAAGAAAAGGCATAACCATTTTTTTCGGGATTGGAAACCCAAATGTATATTATTTACTCATACTTGACTGTATGTGGTGGAGGTGAAACTGAATATGTCAATGTATTTGAGGAATAATTTGTCTGCCAAACTAACCGTATTATGCTGGCTGTGGAAGCTGCCTTCTTCGTCCCGCTTGTCATGTGACATTTCAGGCAATGATAAACTTTATACCGCCACCTACAGTTCCGGATTAAAACTGAAGCATCAAAACAAATACAGTATAGTACTGAACAATACTCCACCAAATCCATCCAAGCACAAAGTATGCAGTGACGTTTGAATGGAGGCCCCTTCGACTGTATAAACCAGAACCAAACGACGCATACTAATTTAAAAAAATGGATGGCAGTATAGTAACTATAAGTATACTATATATAATGTTGCATGATCGAAAGCCAGTTTTATTCAATACTTAAAGCGTGAATTAGCCTAATTCAAGAGTTTTGCAGTCCTTGATAACAAACCCAATTCCGGGACGGCCACTAGGGTACGCTAAAGGACTAATTAAAGCTTCTTCATCGAGCATTACGTTCCAATATTAAATGTATTTAATGAGGGTGTCAATTTTTAAAACTGGATACACCTGCTTTTAGATTTACATTGACTAAAATACAAGTGAGCCTTTTTAACAGCGTCTATGTAAGCCAAACCAATGCCAACTGGCAAATTATAACATCTACAATTGCACTACATCTGAATGGAGATTCTAATCTTCAATGTCAATGAAATTTGTTAACGTACACAATCCACTTAGGTATATAAACTACCTTACTACACACACTAAACCACTATTATTACACGTTATAAATATATTTTTTTTTTCAAAGGTGGATGTACAAAATACGCATCCAGTAATCATTGTCGTACGTGTACTGTCCGAGTAAAAACCTTTAAAAGTGAAAATAAACTTGCTGCTGCAGGGCGACTTCAACTTCTTGTCACCTCCCAGTCGACGTTACGTACGCCGCCGCCGCCGCCGCCGTGGCGTGCCTGCAAATCTAATAATATGGAGTCCTGTGCCGAATGCCTGCCAGGGAGCCATGCAAAACATCACCAAAGTGTTTCGTGTGACACTTAAAGAGCAGATTCGCGCATGTAAGCAGCCGGGGGCTTGTAGCGAGCATCGTCTCCGGGGCGTCGAGCTTCTTGCTCGGTCCTCAACTATGACGAGCGAAGCTTAGGCTGCGACTCCCTCCCCTGGATCCGCACACCCAGCCGATATCAGTGAGTATTTTCCGGGTGAAATTGTTGCCGATGTGAGTTCGTGCTTTTAAAAGGCACCGTGCATTGCATCGCGGAGCTTAGACTGACCTGACAATGACCGATCAACAACACCGGCCACGTACTTACAGTGGGCTAACACAAGCCCAGCCGCTGCACCTTTTGACGTCTCGGTTATTTCCTCACTGACCTAAAAGGGACAGAAAGGACGTGGGCCTGGAAATAAACGCCACATCTTTCTGTAACCATTCCGGCACTTGTCTCGTTTAAAAGAGCAGACGTTTTGTGAAAATGGGTCAGACGGGCCTATACAGCTGCAGCTGGTGGGGGATCTACTGAGGACAGCTAAAACATGAACATTCTGCAACTCTGCAATCGTTTGCGTTGTGTGACATCGCCGTTTGAACACACCGTCTGCAGTTTTGTCATGCAGATGAATGCAATCAGTGTTGAGCAATGGATGAATGTAGAAAGCAGAAAACGTAACTTATCGCATTTTCCCCCCCTCTTCGGATGTTTTCACAAGACGAGGAGGGGTGCACAATGTAGGCAGTCTGTTCTCCATACTGTTCTCTGGGAGGGGACAATGGAGCCAGAAGGGCAACCCCAGACCCCAGGGACCAGCGATGTGACCCCACCTTTGAACTCCGCACAAAATCCAGTCACCCCGGCCTTCCTTAACTGCACCTTACAGCAGGTAAAGCCTTCACGTCACCGTCACTGCTGTCATTTAAGGTGGAGGAAATAGTGGGGCATGTCATCTGCAATGTTATGAATCACACATACAACATCAATATTGTGTGATTTATTATGAATGTTTACTGAAAGACAATAGGAGTTGTTGGAACAATACCTTAATAACAGTAGGGTAGCGTGGTAAACTAGCGGGTAGCACATCTGCCTCACAGGAGTTCAGATGTGTTACAGATTAGTTACTTCTGCCCCGGTTCCAAACCTGTTTCTATTGACGGTAGTCGAAGAGCGCTAAAACAACAAAGGTAGTGTTGGACTATTGGTGAAGACGTTAGCATTGGCGCCGTAGATCAACAGAGTTGCTTGCATTACTTTTCCTTGCTGGGTGACATATTTCTTGGTTGCTTGACAGAACTTCTAAAGTACGACCTTTTCTACCCTATAGCCCAGTGGAAAAAATATATATACATATACATATAATTTTGTCCATTGTCTGCACAAAATAAAGATCCGGATACATTTTAAGTGGATATATCGTCTACTTCAAAAAAAAAAAAAAAAAAAGATCTGCATCCAAATGATTTTTATTTCATGCAACCACCTGGCATCATAAAATTGAGTAAATTCAACAAATGTCTTTTTTTCACTGTGACACTAGTAGAAAACTCGCTGTGCCCCTCGGCACATATGGTGAGAAAATGATGAAATGTGTGACTTTTTTTTTTACGTATTACTTTTGTGATGTAATCCATCAATTTTCTATACCGCCTAACTTGGCATCAAAGGTGGCTTACACCCTGGACAGTCACAACAATCACAATTGACATCTGAAAAATGCACTTTTTTTTTTTAAGAAAAAAGAAAACAGTGCCATTCTTAACTATAATACAGTGAGCATTATAAAAATGTCCTATATGTTTTTTTGTAATTCTTGCCACTAGTCCTCATGTTCTTCCGACGTGAGCGACGCCCTGACGTCGACTAAAGGTTCACAAGGTCACGATGGGGATGTGCCTCCCGAGCAGACCGAGCGCTCTGAGCACAGTGCAGACCCAGCGAGGAGCGCACAGAGGAGATTCGGGTCCTCGGCCTTTTCTTCCTCCCTGAGCTGGGACGAGAAAGAAACCCGAGATGGTAACGCATCACTTTGCATATTTTGTCAAAAGTTTTGAAACTTGCTAGTCAAGCCAAGCAAAATTCAGTCGTGATCATTGTCGTCCTCTTATCGTTTTAAATGTGATTCAGTCTGCTTGGAGAAGTCTCTCAGTTGTCTCTGTGGAATCCACTTCGACGACAATGTAGTTTTGACTGTCGAATTTTCACTGTTTGGCTGTGAAGTGATTGTTTCTGTGGTTTGTGTGTGCTGTTATATGTCAGAGGAGGAGCTGCAGCATTTTTCTAACCCTCAAAGTCTGGCTGCTCACAGCCCAGGATCTCCTTCCTCTGGATCCAGGTGAGGAAGGTGGTGCTGTGGTGTACTCTTACAAACTAAAGCTTTTTTTTTTTTTTTTTTTTTTAAAACAAAAAGTTTTTACAA